GTCCATAGAAAGTCCGTAACCCAGCACCAGCAAGCAGCGCATAATGCAACAATGTAATATCCGAACTACCTATGAAAATCTTGGGATGTTTGCGGATCAAATCATAGTCAAGATGAGGCAGGATCTCATTGGCAGTCAGCCCGCCAATACAGCATATAATGCAGCGCACTTCATCGTCACGAAACGCTTCATGCAGTTCATCCACTCTTGCCTTGAGAGTAGCACGGAACGAGGTTGTAGGAAGCTCAGATGAGTAGATTTCGCGGACGCGGAAGCCTTGTGCTTCCAGAAAGGTGCGCGCTCGGGCAATACGTAGAGGGAAGATATGGTTGAGACGTGCAGAGGGAGCAACAAAAGCGATAGTGTTGCCGCGCCGAAGGGCTGCGGGCACCACGGAAACAGACGTTTGAATTGTCATGGTCGATTAAGAGGATATGAAGTACAGGGCGCAATCGCGAAGACACAAGGCGAGTTGTTAAAGAAACAGAAACGTTAGACGTGAGTCACAATTCAGCTCGTAAGGCGGCTGGCTGTCAGCTAGTCTCGCCGGGCAGATCACCGGATCTTCCCCCGCCGTTTCGAGAACCGTGCCTAGAATACCTATGGCACGCTAAAATCAAATACTATGTAAGACGCGATACCGATCAGCACATAAGGCTTCTCTACCGTGGAGCGATTCCTCGAGTCTAGTTACTAGACAGGTATTATTCGTCGCTATAACAAGGCCAGCTAAAGAAAATCATGAAAATCATGAAGTGAAGAGTCCATCCATAGTCTATGATATTATGATGATTAACAGTTGAAAAAAGAAAACCACACTCCAGGGCCACCAGGGATGATAACTACATGGCCTATAAATGCGTGTATGTACACCGACCGACACGCAAAATCCGATCCAACCCAAGACACAAGACAGAGAAAAGAGCGCAACTCAAACAGAAATGTACTCGGGTTTCATCATACCATCATACCCACACAGGCAGAGTAGAAAACAGCAAGCTCCAAATGCAAGGAATGGAAAAGAAGAAGACGAAAGATTGTGCTGTAGAGCAGCACATGAACTCCAGACCCGCGTACATATCCATACCATACCCCGTACACCAACACCAACACCAAAGCGATCACTGGACGAGAATTGCCATAACTTCTAGTCAAAGGCTCTTCCAGGTGAGAGGCTAGAGACGACGATAGGATCACAGTACATCGGATCTCCCAATCAACGGCAGCAAGGGTAAAAAAAAAGCAGATGTATGATGAGAGACAGAAACACGCAGAAAATGCAATTTCAGGAGATCATGATCGGAGAAAAGAAGAGAAGTAAGCAAGACACAGGCTTGAGGAGAAGGAAATCACCGGGCTGGCATGTGGTTCGAGCCAGACCCCGTGGAGATCCCCGTCGATTGATGAGGTCGGTAATGGACTGAATCGACGGTTTTGGGTGGGAGCGAGGGTGAGGTATCTCGTTTCATGCTGCTAGGCGGCTGGAAGAGGCCCGGTCGAGCGGGAGGTGGAGAGAAGATGGGGTTGCGGGAGGGAGCTTCGGCAGCAGGAGAGGCGCGACTCGGATGTGGTTGGGATTTTCGCACGTCAAGTGGGGAAGAGCTTGGGTCTCGATACCCGGGGTTGCGCTCGGCCTCATAGTCTGGGTTACGGAATGGTCCTTGTTGCCGAGACTCCTGCTCCGTGCCATAAGGCGTATTGTTTGCCGATGAGTTCGCGGCAGAGGGATTTTCAGGAATGGTCGATGCCGATCCGTTCGGCGCATTAACGTCCACCACTCGCTTTTGCGCCGCGGGAGTCGTATAGGATAATGCCTGCGGTCGTTGTGCCTGCTGCTGCTGCTGCTGCTGCTGCATCTGTTGTTGATGGATTGGGTGTTGTGGGTTGGCCCAAGGTGTTTGTTCCAGAAACGCTTCCTCGGCAGCGGTGCGAAATACATTGGACGACATGGATGACATGGCCACCCGTGGCTGTAATGTAGTAGAAGGCCGTGGCGCTGAGACTCGAGACTCGACAGGTATCTAATGCGCTGGTTAGACAATTGCAGATGCCCCCACCGACTCGATACGACTTACCCCCATCTTCTCAAGATCGTCATCCAACTCCGAAGGACGCGCACCTAGCAATGTCGGTGCAGCTGGGAAACCGACATACTTTGCGACACCGGCCATGACGGATACCTCATGATTGTATGCGGTTTGATGTGAGATCTGCTGCGATCGGCGGGTCGGGAAGGGAATGATATGGTGCGGGCTGAGCTCGTCAGTCTTGAAGCGATCGTGCTGGATCGCATAGAATTGTTTGCTCATCGCACTCGAGTGCCGTTCTCGCAAGTCTCGGATGCGCTGGAAATATGTGCTGTGCGCCTGGGATCGCTCGGCCAGCCCCTTGTTCAACAATGACTTCAATCGGTATTGGTACAAGGTGTGCTCATATTTGATCTTGGCATCCCGGTAACGTTGCACACACTCGATCTGACGCAGGTACTCGGGATGGGTGGGGTTTGGTCCAGTCAACATCTCCAATTCGCGGTTCAGCTTGGATATCCGTTCGTCGTAGATCCTGCAGGCGCGGGTGAGTAACCTCCCCCACAAAGAAAAGAAGCAAGGTACATACTTGTCACGCAACGTTGCAAACTCCTTCTCTAGTGTCGCCAAGGACTCCATGGCAGACATCTTCTTGGCCGCTGTACAACGGGTCAGCTTGGATCATCAAATAGTGCAAGAAATACTGACACTCTTCTTCCGCTTTGGCCGCGGTCTCAGTATCGTCGGCCTCATCGACACGTTCCGCAGCCTCTTCGTCTTCTCCGAGATTCTCATCAACGACGTCGTCTGCAGCCGTCTCAGCGCCACCTGTTTCGGTCTCCTCATCCACATCTCGAGCTCTTCGTCCTCCTTTCCGCCTAGCTTTTTTACCCTTCTTGATAGTGACCTGTGCGATTGGAAGGTCTGACTCGGGGACTTCGTCGGCGGGCGTGTCGTCCTCGTTCGCAACAATGGGGTCTCCGATCGGCTCGGGGGATAGCGGGGTATCATCATCGATCGGGTCACTCAGATCGCTCTTGATCGAGCTACGGCGTTTCCTGAGAGGCTCTTCTTCTTCGCCGATTTCGGTTCCGGTGTCGTCACCCACGTCGACGCGTTTCCGTTTCTTGCTGATGCTATCAGGCAGCTCGGAGTCATCTAGGTCGGGGGCATCGTCGGGGACGCCGTTATTTTTGAACGAGCGAGTTTTGGAGGGCGAATCGTCCGCCGCAGGTGTTTCGTCGTCGACATCGTCGAGCGTGGTGGACTGGTGAAGCTTGCTGGGACTAGGCCCAACGCTCCCCGCGCTCACCACAATGTCTCGTTTTCGAAAATGTTGTGGGGAGTCCTCGATGCGCTCGGTCTCGGCTTCCGAGTCATTTTCCAGCAACGAAGATTTCTCTGGTTCGACTGGATCCTCGTCGAAGTCCGACGGCTCGTCGTCGGAAACGTCATCAATCTCACTCAAGCTACTTGAGCGTCCATCGTCCATGAGAGGGTCATCCAGGTACGGATTCCGCTCGCCATTGGCAATGCTGGAGTCTGCCCCCGTGGTCGGACCAACGGAGGCTTGTTCTCTGCTCTCAGCGACCTCCATCTGCAGGTGTGGGAGGGAGGAATTTGACGCGAGAGTGGTATGAAGGAGGGGATAGAGGAGGGCTTTCGGAGGAGAGGTTGTTTTCGGCAGGGTTGGCGTTCGTTATGGGCGTGTGAGGAGAAAGGGTGTGAAAGGTTTGCCGGTCCGCCAGACGGGGAATTTGAAACCTGGAGGAACCGCAAATTCGATTAGCTCAATGGCCGTGCCATTTTGGTCTGATGAGAAGGGAGACAGCAGCAGTGTGGGAGAAAAGTGATCCGGTGGGTGCGAAGAGGTCGGCCAGCGCCTTCAGAAGGCGGTGCGGAGATTTGATCATCGCCCCCAGAGTCGGCAGCCCAGGCGAAAGCCACGGTGCCTGCGCTGTCCCTCTCGCGGCAGAGGACTCGAAAAACAAATTTTGTCCATGTTGCCGACGCCGGGTGAAGCACCGAGATCAATGTAATAATGTAAGCGACGTACCTTTTCAGCAATGCGCCAGCAGCGCCAGTGGTGAGCACAGCTGCTCGCGACCGAGCACAAGTGTCCAAACCACCGCGTTCGTGGGTTGCAGGGGATCAACCAGGTTCAGAACCGCGTGTACAACCTCGAAACCGTTGTATCCCGCCAGGAACCTTTGGGGTGCGAGTGACCACTGATCCTGCGCAGACCGACTGACTGAGGGCGAGGGGAGGCTAGGAAGCGGGCGAGACGAGAGGAGGTCGCGGCGCGAATGGGCATGAAGTATGCAGAGGAGTGAGGCAGTGTAACACAGACAAGGATGGAGGGGAATGGGAAGGGCGCGCGCGAGGGGACGCAGCTGAGGGAGGAGAGAGAGGAGAGGGTCACGAAGCGCTATGATGGGGTGCTGGACGGACCGGTGACGGGGTTCTGCCGCGAGATCGGTCACCGCCTTGACCGGAACCACCAATCCCGTGATGGGTCATGTGATTGAGTCAGAGGCCGTGGTTTTGGATTTAGACGAAGAGATTGGCGGGCTATTGCGCTTTATTTGCATTAGTGCTCTTGTGAAAGCTCTTTATCCAGCTACTACTACTCACCGGCCGTCGTGTTTAGTTTTGCGGGAGACAAAGATCCCTGGCTGCACGTCTTTACCGCATCCGACCATCCAACCCGGAATAACAGCAACTAACTTGGTCAATAGCTGCATTGCACTGTTTATACTTGATTTCCAATTCTTCTTTATTTATCACCTACTCTACTCTCTAAGACGCTCACTAATTCTACCTCGAAGAACAACATTCTTGATCACATGACCGATAGCACCCGCGCCAAGCCCGATAAGCAAAAGTCAAGAAAAAAAAGTGCAAGCAGAACGCAGGTGTTTGTACGACCACACCTTAACTCCCTCCACCGCCCAACTCACCCCAATTGACACAATGGGCAAGTCCAAGTCCAAGTCCAAGTCGGAGTCCACCAAGACCGATGCGTCTAGCACTCTGCCCTTCCTCGGGGCTAGCACATCTCTGGACCCGACGCTGTCCTCGTTGTTCGAGAAGAGTGTACGTCCACTTATCCACCTGGGTGAATTTACGTTCCGATAACTAACCTTTTTAGGCCGGACCTGTGAAAGCACCTGTCATCCCCGAATCATTCACGATTTTCAAAGCCAAGCAGCGCGAGGATGCAGATCTAGACCAGGATGAGGAGCAGCAGCAATCGGCCGATTCCGACGACGAAGTGATGGAGGATGCCTCCGACGCCAACGAATCCGAAAGTGCGGATGAGGAAAATTCCGCAGAGCCACAGGGCCGGAAACGAAAGAGGGCCGGCGCTGAGGAGGACCTGGAGGAGTCATATATGCGTCGCATTGCTAAGGAGGAGCAGAAAGCCGATGAAAAGAGGAAGGAGGAACAGGCTAAGCGGATAAAGAAAGTTGATCAAGATAGCAAGGAAGCTGGTGAAGATGTCGAAGGGAGTGAACAGTCCGACGAAGAAGCAGTATCAGAGGCCGGCGAAGACGATGAAGACCTATCCCCGGCCCCCGTGCACGAAAGCGTGGCGAAGAGCACCAGCGAGGTGGAAAAGTCCAACCGCACGGTATTCCTGGGAAATGTCTCCACGGAAGCGATCAAATCCAAGTCTGCCAAGAAGACCCTGCTGCGGCACCTGGCATCCTTCTGTGCATCTCTACCTGAATCCAGCGGCCCGCACAAAGTCGAGTCGATCCGGTTCCGCTCCGTCCCCTTTTCCAGCGGCGGTGGCCTGCCGAAGCGGGCGTCGTATGCCAAGATGGAAATTCTCGACGAGACAACCCCCAGCACAAACGCCTACGCCGTCTACACCACCACTCAGGCCGCGCGTAAGGCGCCCGCTGCATTGAACGGGACCGTCGTTCTGGACCGCCATCTCCGCGTCGATAGTATCGCGCATCCCGCGGAAATCGACAACAAGCGGTGTGTCTTTGTGGGTAACCTGGACTTTGTGGATAAGGAAGTGGAGGATGCAGAGCCCGGCAAGAAGAAGAAGACCCGGGCTGCTGCCGACGTCGAGGAGGGTCTGTGGCGGACCTTCAACGCGCACACGGGCGAGAAAGACAAGAAGAAGACCGGGAAGGGCAGCGTCGAGTTCGTGCGCGTGATCCGCGACCGGTCGACGCGCGTGGGCAAGGGATTCGCCTACGTGCAGTTTTACGATGGAAACGGGGTGGAGGCGGCGCTACTGCTGAATGAGAAGAAATTCCCGCCGATGCTGCCGCGCAAATTGCGGGTGACTCGCGCCAGAAAAATGGCAAAGAAGCGGGATGGCAACAATAATGACGGCGGCGAGAGGAAGATGGGCAAGGCACAGAAGACGATGCAGGGTCGGGCGGGCAAGTTGCTGGGGAGGTCGGCCGCGCATCAGATGAAGACGGATGGGAAGGGCTCCATTGCGGCTAATGGGTTTGTGTTTGAGGGTCATCGTGCGACGGAGGGCTCGGCCAGTGTTAAGATGAAGACGAAGAGTCGCGGGTCCAAGGGGAAGCCAAAGAATCGCAGCAGTAAGCGGGCGGCGGCATATCGGGCTGCTGGGGGGAAGAAGCCGTGAGTGGAAATAGATAGGTGTATTTAGTATGGCGTTTATGGATTCATAAGAGCATGATTGAGTCGAGTCGTAGTTGTTGAAGTTGTATACCTCCATATGTTAGTAGTAGTTGAGCGTGTCTATCTAGGGCTTGACGTCATCCAATCAGTTCAACCGTCCTCTCGCTATCCTCCCTCACACTGGCTTTCTCTATACGACTACAATATAGACCATGACTGGGGTTTTCCCTCAAACAACTTGACAGACTACAACATCACCTACTGTCGTTGCCTGGCCCAGACTTGCTGACTCTTCCCCTCCACAACCACCATTCCTCCTTACTTCCAACATTATTTCTCAACGGTTCTCATCATCACCATCACCATGCTGCCCTTTCGCCGCTTTTGGAACCAGTTCCAACAAACCTTAGCAGGAGAGCCCACCACCTCGGCCAACTCCAGGGATACTTCAGCTCCAAACAACACAGACACCCCGCCCACAGACCAACCACGAGATGTCAGCGTGTGGGACGCACTCAAAGTCCGCTATATCCTACGAAACAAGATCAACCACCCACTCCCGGAGGAACTAATCGATCTAATCCTCGACTCTGCAGAGTATTGGCCCAGCGCTGAAGTGGCCATGCCCCCAGGCGAGCGAGTCATCCACAAAGACCGCGACCAAGTAATCCTGAAGACCATCCCCCTCTGCTACGACCGCGCAAGTCTAGAGTCCTGCGCCTCACCACTCGCAATGCCCCACCGGGGCAAGCACCCCTGCCGAAAAATAATCTTCCACATCTCGGCGCACGACCAAGGCGGCGGCCGCAGCGGCCGGCGCGAGAATATGTACGAGGGGTCCTGGACCTGGTTCGACACGGAGGTCATCCGCGCCGCGCATCTAAAGAATATGTATAAAGACTACAAGGAGCAGGAGGTCCTGGAGAATGAGCAGGGGCAGGTAGCGAGGCATTATGGTCCTGAGCATCCGAATCTCTTGCCCCGAGGTGATAAGTTGCAGGTGAATGAATGTCGTGTGTTGAGTATGCAGGAGCATACTATCGTTTGGCATTATCTGGATAATGTGCCGCCGGACTCGCTTGAGGCGGAGGAGGTGGAAAGGATGCAGGGCCGGGGGAGACTTACGCTGGATGGACGGGGGGTGAGAGAGTTGGAGGTGGGTGATTCCATTGCGGTGTGGGCCAGGGCGAGGTTTCCCGGGTGGTCGAATTGGGTGGCACGGGCGAGGGTGCAAGTCTTCTGGGCGATATAGTAGGAGGAAAGAATGATCGTACAACATTTAGTCATAAACACCCGTTCAAGACAAGAGTATACATACACGATTTCTGCCTCAGGCACCACACCCCAGCACCAGCGAATCACAGCCGAAGTGAAGCACGCAATTCCGCCAAGGCCCCTGAGGGACGCTAGCCCTGCCCCATATAAGAAGTACAACTCCCTCGACCACCATCAACTTTTGTTTTCTCCCATTCCCACGTCCAGTTCGACGAAATCGACCATGTGCACCCTACCGAACATCCTCCCTGGACCTTCCGTCCATGAGGGGTGAGGGCAGCGCAACACCTACCCCTACACCACCGCCAGACACACCCGACGCAGCCGACGAGCCGATGGAAAGCGCCAGGACCCGGCGGTGGGGCAGAAATGCCCATCCCCTCTGTCTCTCTCGGCCGGGTTGCGACGGACTGGACGATTGGAGTGGACTGCACCGCGACTCTTATTGATTGATCGGGCGAGAAAGAGGATCTGCCCCCAGACTAACTAGCCAACTCCCCGCTGCGACTGGCTCTCGGTTGCGTTATCTGCACCGCCAATGATGCCGAGGGTCCTCGTTTCAGTGACGCAGTAACATTCCCCTGGTTCTCGTGTTCCCCTCTCTCCTCTATATTTATTACTTAACTAAAACCCCAATGAATGACTTTTTCTCTGTTTCACTCACGTCCCACGCTCTCTCCCATTTCCCACACCCCCAACGACCCTATATACTAACACCCCCAAAAATGACACCTCGCACTTGCGCCGCTGTGGTCGTGGGCGCCGGTCCCGCCGGTGTGGCCGCCGTGGGTAACCTGCTCGAGCGCCAACTCGGCACCATCGCCTGGATCGATCCCACCTTCGAGGCCGGCCGCGTGAACCGCAAATACCGCGAGGTCCCATCGTGAGTTGCCTTCCGAAGGGATCGATCACCTTTCCCTGTCATTTCTGACCGAGCCTCTCCAGCAACACCAGGGTCGCTCTGTTCTCGGCCTTCGCCACGGCGACCAAGCCCTTCCAGGCAGTCGTCGACAACACCCCCAAACCAAACCCATTCTCCACCCTCGCCAAGCTCGACCAGGAGAAGCCCTGCCATCTGCATCATGCCGCGGATATGGTGCGCTCCCTGACAGACGGCCTAGTCAAGATGGAGCAAGTGTACGCATGTCGCGGGTTCGTGACGGCTGCCAACCTGGCCAAATCACCCTCATCGTCTGCGTCGCAGTGGACTGTCCGGGTCAAGCAGCACGGATCGTCCGACGAACTGGAGATCAACACCTCCCGCCTCGTCCTCTGCACAGGCAGCCACCCGACCAACCTCCCAGTCCCGGTGCCGGGACTAGACATCCACCACCTCGACCTGGACACCGTGCTCAAACCCTCCGAGCTGCGCACCACCCTCCCCACCGACTCCCCCTCCACCGTCGCTGTCGTGGGCGCGAGCCACAGCGCCATCCTGGCCCTCCTGAACCTAGTCAGCCTCGCCCAGTCCTCGCACCCGCATCTGCGCGTGCGATGGTTCACGCGCCATCCCCTGCGGTACGCCGAGTACAAGGACGGCTGGATCCTGCGCGACAACACAGGCCTCAAGGGTCTAGCCGCGGACTTTGCACGCTCGCAGCTGGAAGACGATAAGTTGGCGACCTCGGCGGCTGGCACGGTCATCCGTAAGATCGACTGCGGCGGCGGCCCGGACAGGGAGCAGGCGCAGTATGAGAAGAATCTGCCGGCTTGTTCGCATATCGTGCAAGCGGTGGGGTTTACTCGCGATCCATTGCCGAAGCTGTCTCGTAATGAGATGGTGCCTATTACGCTGGAGTTTGATCATGAGACGGCTCGGTTTCATGAGCCCGGCTCTGGCGACGTCGTGCCCGGCTTATATGGTGCTGGCATTGCTTTCCCCGAGCGTGTGGTTGATCCCCTTGGGAATGTCGAGTATGCGGTTGGCTTCTTTAAGTTTATGAAGTTCTTGAAGCGGGTTGTTCCTACGTGGACGGCGGCATGATTGATTGTTGATTCGAATGGCTTCAGGTCTGGCGTTCCTGGATACTGGTTTGTGCTTTGTTTTTATATTTTTATACTGGGCGGGTTTAAGCCCCGAGGTAGCTTTAGCTCATATACCCTACCCTACCTATACGTCATCTAGCTTTCTCCCGTAAAGGTCTACAGGACCACCCTAATAGTTCTTACCAGGCGTCTGTACTTCCCATGAGCGGTAAGTGGCATGGTAGATGCAGGAGAAAGGCTCTCTTGGAATGGAAGTAGACAGTCAAATCAATCTAAGCAATGAATTGCGAGTGCCTGTCTGAAGAATACAAACCAAGAACGGCCAATCGGCCAGATATATATCCTCGATAGCTAGCTAGTCGGCAAAAAACGCATTTACGTCAAACCCTTTGATCCTTCCCACAACGCCCTTCCCGCCGGTCGTGGCCTTGATGTCGTGGATTTCCTGACGGATCTCACCATCGCCATCGTCGACATTGATGAGGCCAACGAGAAGCTTCCCGCCGTCACTCATCTCGACCTTGGTGATCCTTTGTCCGGTTCGCATCTGGTGTGTTTCTGATCGAAGATCTTCTAAGACCTTTCGTGATGCACCTAGTGCAGCCCGCTGGTCCTCAAGTTGCTCGACCACCTCGGATGGATCGTTGTTGTTGTTATCCGTAGGCTGCGCTCTAGTGACCTCCTGTAGCACCATCTCCCTCTCCTCGTCCTGTTTGTCTATCTCCATAATGTCCTGCTCGATCGCAAGCTCCCTTTCCCGCAGTCCACGTTTGATGGTATCGGTGATGGGGTTTGATGCAGCCGACGTTAGCCTAGATAGTAGCAAATGAGCGTGATACGTCTCATGATCAGATCACATACAAGGCTGCTGTGCCAACTGCCATGTTCACAGTAGATTTGCAACAGCCGAGCTGCTTCCTCAGAGCCTCGATCGTTGCCTCGGCAAATAAGCCGACGCGAACACGATCCCGCCAGTGGACTCTATCCTCGGAATGTCTAGTCCATCGCTTCAGCTTCGCTCCAAACCGGTCACAGGCCGTTTCACAACTCGCAACAGCCACCTGCAGCGCGGCTATCACCGCGGGATTGAGTGCGTCGAGCTTTGAATCTTTCCTCGCATCATCCAGCACCGTGAGGATAGCGCGAACGGCTGCTAGTTCGCTTCGCAGATCCTTGATAACGGTGGGCGCATCCTTGATCGCATTTATATCATGGATTAACGTATTTATACTCTGTACCGCCGCTTGGACGATACTTAGAGTCCCGGCGGCCACGCTGAACGCATCCATTATCGCAACCAAGGTGGGGGAGGTAACCTCGTCAGCCAGGAATGGGGGCGTCTTGTCTTGGCTAAGCCGCGAGAGGCATGATCATGTGCTGATTGCGCGACGACATGTTACATAGATAGTGTCAAGTATGGAAATGTCCTGATTGGCTTAGAAAGAGCCTATGCTGCTTTTTGGCCTAGCGGTACAGCTGGCATTGTTGGACGGTCGATATGGATCTTGCAGTAGTTCCTGCAAGTGGCCATTCGCGAGTGGGCTAGTTGGACACACTAGTTAGCGAGCAGGCTGAGCGGCAACAGCGCGAATCCTGAACTGCATCCTCGGCCACATGGAAATGACGTGCTATATGGGACGGCGGAGTGGCTGTCCACGGCCAAGTCTCCGTATGATTGTGAATTACCCGTTTCACCTTCTGCGGATTCACGCAGCCTGGAGGATATCGCGACACCATGGACACGACCAGAGCAACGACTCCGAGGGTCCCCCCTACCCTGCATATCTCTGGGGTGAGCGCGGAATCGAGGGGAAGGATGTTTGCCGGGCTCGCAGATAATAGTGTCAGGGCCACCTTCCATGCGGACAGCCATGTCCACCACTATTCCAGTAAGTTTCTAGGAAGGATAAAAGTGTCCACGTTAATCACGGAATCCCTAGGCCAACCCGAAACCACTCCAGGCCCTCTATCAACTGTGCCATTTGTGCGTGATGATGACTTTGTCAGTCGCGACACACTGCTTGAACAGATTCGCGAGAAATGCTCGGTCGAGGGGTCCAGGATAGCGCTTGTCGGTCTTGGCGGCGTTGGGTTAGTGCCAAGAATGGCCAGAGGGTGGTTTATTGCTGACAACTCAAAAGAAAATCGCAGCTTGCCATCGAATATTCATATCGGGTCCGAAGCCAGTCGCAGGCGATATGGGTGTTCTGGGTCCACGCGAGTAACGCGGCCCGGTTCGAGCAAAGCTTCCGAGGCATTGCGGACCAGGTGAAAATTACGGGACGCGATAATCCCAATGCCAACATCTTCCAATTGGTTGAGAATTGGCTCCGGGATGAGCGGCAAGGGAAATGGCTTGTTATCGTGGATAATTTTGACGATGATGGGCTCCTTTGCCAGCTCCCGGCAAGAGGCCTGGAGGGTCAGAGAGACGGCCATGATCATGTCCATGCTCCGACAAAGCCACTGTTCGAATACCTCCCGCGGGCCCTACATGGCTCAGTCATCGTCACGAGTCGGACGAAAGAAGTGGCGCTGAAAATCGTCGACCACAAGGACCTCATTGAGATCGAACCAATGAAAGGATCTGAGGCGCTAGAACTTCTCCAGAAAAAGCTTAAATCGCCAGGGGACCGTCGAGAGTCCCTTGAATTGGTAGAAGAGCTCGAGTTCATGCCACTAGCGATCGTCCAGGCAGCCGGCTATATCAACCACCGAGCACCACGATGCTCGGTATCGCAATATTTGGACACGCTTCGGAAGAGCCATGACGATGCGACCAGGCTTCTTAAATACGAGCCAGGCCATCTGCACCGAGACTGGCAGGCCAAGAACTCCATTCTGTTCACATGGCAAATATCCTTCAACCATATCCGAGAAAACAAACCATCAGCGGCAGACCTGCTCTCCCTCATGAGCTTCTTCGACCGACAGAGAATTTCAGAAGACCTTCTGCGAGTGCAACATAGAAGAAACCATTGGAGCTCAGAGGAAACCAACCATCCGTCTATATCAGACACGGATCACGACTTCGAGGACGATATTGCAACACTGAGAGACTATTCATTCATTTCCGTCGGTGAAGACCGCACCGTCTTCACGATGCATCGGCTGGTGCAGCTGAGTGCGCGCGTATGGCTGCAGGGTCAAAGACAAATTGAGAAATGGAAGGAACAATTTATCAGCATTCTGTGCCACCATTTTCCGACTGATCCCTACTATGAAGAATGGGAAAGTTGGGAAAGGTGCCGCTGGCTCTTTCCACATGTTAAATCGGCGATGTCCGAACCGCCAGAATCACCGGGCATTCAGCAGCAATGGGCTTCGCTTCTGTATAATGGTGCTGGGTACGCGTGGCGAAGCGGTAACCTTGCAGACGCGAGGGAAATGGCATCGAAGTCTCTGGAACAGAACAGGGACCTACTAGGCGAAGAGGATCCGGCAACCCTTGCTAGCACTGCAATGTTAGCGAGAGTATACCATCTCCAAGGGCAATTAGAAGAGGCCGAGAAGCTCCAAGTGCGGGTGGTAGAGGCCCGGAAGAGGTATTTCAGCGAGGACCATCCTGATACGCTGATGGCTATGGGATATCTAGCCACGACGTATATGGAGCAGGGTCGGTTAGCGGACGCTGAAAAGCTCAGGGTGCATGTGGTGGACAAGAGCAGGACAGCGCTCGGCGAGGACCACCCTGATACGCTAAGGAGAATGGAAAACCTAGCAACGACGTATATGGAACAGGGCCGGTTGGCGGAGGCTGAGAAGCTCAGGGTGTATGTGATGGACAAGAGCAAGACAGCGCTCGGCGAGGATCACCCTGACACGCTAAGGAGAATGGAAAACCTCGCAGCGACATATAGAAGTCAGGGCCAGGAGGAGGAGGCTGAGATGCTCGAAGTGCAGGTGATGATCAGCCTTGCTTTCACCTGCAAATATTCAGGCCGAGATGTTGAGGCTCTCAATTTACTAAGAGACTGCAGAGCTAGGATGGAAGCAGTTCTAGAGCCTAGTCACCCCTCTGCTGTGTCTGTTTCGGAAACTTTGCTTCAATGGGAAATGGATGGGCTATATACCGATGCGTAGTTTTTTCTGACTGATATTTGTTAACCGAACCCTTTCGCAATATCTGCATTATAACAAGCTATTAGTGCAGACCAGCAAACCGGTTCGACTCTAAACTGGATATTTCTGGCTCTGGAGAAAGCATGGGGTTAAAGATAGACTGATAATGTCACAGATAGAAGGCTAGCCTGGTAGAAGAATCTTCCAGTCGCATCCACGCTATTTGTTTCGGCATGTAGAATTCATAAAAAATGCTTCTTGTCTGGAGGTCTGCGTTGTATCATATGTGCAGTTAAATCCCAAACGCCCACTTCAGCCTCTCATAAACCAGGAAACTCGTTGCAACAAGCGGCACAACCTTAAAATACCCGATGCTTAATCCGACCCAAAACCCCCGAAACCCATTCTCCGCCCACATCTTGCGGCACGTTCCGCCAATCCCCAGACGGTGGCCACCAACCTGCATCCGCCGCCGCAGAACCTCGAAGGGATACGAGGTCGTCTGCGCAACCGCGCCGGCGAGCGCGCCGGCGGATAACTCTGCCGGAGCAACGAGCTGTGGGCGTCCAGCATGCCTGGATCCGGGTTTCGTGACTGAGTTTGGGATTGTGGTGTATGGTGCCAACGTTGGGCTGCGCAGCCAGTCGCCGACTTGGTCATGGGTGAAGAAGGACATCCCCGCGTAAGGGATCATACCTAGCAAGGTGGGGCTGAAGCCGCGGTAGAAGTTCGCTAGTTTAAATCGTTGGCTGAGTTTGTTGAAAAGTGTTTCGTTTGTGCCGGTTGCAGTTGCTGGTGTTGTTGCTGCGGCACTTGGAGGATGAGGATGCGAATGCTCATGGTATATCTGCCAACAAACAGCCCTCATCGAAGACCGATGCTGATGGCTAATCTCAATTGCCATTCGCACGCGGATGAGATCAAACGGATAAGTAAACAAGACAGAGACCACCCCCGCAAGGCTACCAGACAGAAGTCTGCGGAATGGCGTCTCCTTATCCTTGGACGGGATGAGTGTTGCGCGGATCTGTTCGTATCCCAGGAAGTTGATCGCCGCGTACGGGAATTTCTGAAGCAGAGTCGCAGAGTGGCCCTTGAATAAACCGCGGGTGCCTTCCTTCTGTCTGATCACCGAGATGGCGGACAGGAAGCCGTGCCAGCTGCCTCTATAGCGGGTGTATTCTGGGGTTGATGTTTGGAAGAGAATTTTGACGCGGTCGAGCGGAGCGACCACGGTTTTTGCCTGATTGTTATATGTTAGTTTGTTTTTTTTAAGGGTGATGTTGGACTCACGGCGCATCCTGCCAGTCCGCCGGCCAGCCCGCTCTTTATGATATAGTCGAGACTCCGCTTCGGTTTGGCTCCATAATCGGTTTGTTTTTGTTGTTGCTGGGCTATTGCTGCGCCTGGCAATTGTGGCCTGCTCACACTATCTGGGACCATGGTCCGATGACTCCTTCGTTTACTGCGACGTCTCTCATCTGGAAATGGGGGAAGTGGTTCGTTGTCGGAGTCCACCGGTGCATAAGGTGACATCAGCTTACGTCCACCCACCGCCTACCAAAGACGGAAAATATAGATCTGCAGTACTGTTTACATTATTGTTCGATGAATTTGATAATAAAGATGGTCGATATCTGAAATTTCGCAAGATCTGTTTACTCCCTTGTCTTCCTCATTTTATACCGCGATACTTGGCTTCCATCACTGAGGCCCACCGCCACTAGGTCAAGCTGATAACCAAAGATCCCGGGTAGAACGACCCACCGGCTGTAATAGTAGATAACGCCCAGTGTCAAAATAGCTAGAGAAACCACAGGAGAAAGCCAATAAGGAAGACTGCTATCACCACCGTCCGTTGGAGGCACGAAGGGCATAATCAGAAGAAACTAGCCGAGTCAATTCCACTGTTCGAGATCCTCGAATAAGCACTTACAAAATTTCCTGCCAGATAAAATACTAGGAATGGCCAAGGCACAGTAAATGAAGACTGGAAGTCCTCATGCCTGGACAGGCGCAGCTTCATCAAGCCAATGGTGATAACGGTCAACAGAACCACCGTCGGGTAGGTACCCAGGCCGACGACAAAATTGAAGGCGGCGCCTGCTGGAGGAGCGCAGATGAAAATAGTTGTGACACCGAGATGAACACCAAGAGAGAGTATTGGTGTTCTGAAAGGACGGTTTTGCATGAGAAGGTCGGGGAAGGGAGTAGTGCCATCTTTGGCGAGCTCCTGGATTAATCGTGCTGCGATTGGTTAGTTTTTAGAGGGCAACAAGACAAGAGATAATTACAAACTGCAAAAGCCACACTGAGAAGATGACCAACGGCCGAAAGGGCTACTAGAGCAGGCAGAGCTTTCACTGCGGCAGACTGGCCATACACATTTCGGAAGAGAGTGGCTGCAATGGTCAGCTCAGAATTGAGGAAGTCTTCCCTCGAAACACCCGCAAACTAGTATCATTAGGCTGATATTGTCAACTTGCAGATCAACCGGACTCACGTATGCAATATTGGCCAGAATATAAAGCACAGTCACCAGACCCATGGCGGTGGGTAATGCAATACGGAGAGTTCTTTGGGGGCTCTTGACTTCTGACAAGACCTAGAGATGAGTTCTCAGCATGACTCCCGATATGCTTTTTTATCCCTTACCGCGTTTAAGTTGTCATATCCCTGATACGAGAAAATGACATTCAGAAGCGCTGTGCCAATGCCATAGCCACTGCTCGACGTTCCCCGAAAGGATTTAGACACCGAAAGATTATCCGGTTTTGGGACTCGAAGATGGCCACCAAGTGCCGCAAAGCCTGTGCAGACAATGAAGAATAGGATAAACAGCTTTACTGCGCTGAGGATATCCTGCAGTGCTCTGCCCACTCGTGGCGCGACTGTATGAGTTATTACCGCAAATGATACCGCAGCAATAGCCAGACCACGCATTTTCCAGCCTGTTGATTCCACTCCCCCGGCTTCAAGGAGGTATGACGAGGCCGTGATTGCGTTACCCGCCGTGTTCTCTACATTGAGATAAACGTTAGCCGACGATAGAGCTAACAAAAGGACCAAAAGCTCACGCAGAAAGACACAGTAGAACAGATATATGCATGTCATCAGTAGTTTCGGCGAGAACGAGCGTTCCATGTAAACTTTCATCCCGCCCGAGATCGGAATGCTGCTGCCAAACTCTAGCATCACCATCGCTCCACATGTTGATAGGATACCCGCAATAGTCCAAAGGATAAGAGCCAGTCCCGGACTGCCGCACAGTTCAAGAATAGTCGTCGGAGTAGAGAAGATTCTGTTTCGAATGAGCTGCTGTCCTGATTCCTGGAGGGAGAGGTACTGGACCCGGATCCGATGATCTTATTCATGATGAGTGATATCGCGCCCCAGAGACCAATCCGGCGCTCCTGCAGGATATACGCCTCCTTGATCTGGACGCTGGAGCTTGAGGCATTGTCGATGCTTGGGCCATCGTCACTCTTGAGTGATCCTTTCAGAGAAGGGAGTTCTGGCTTATCAGCAATTGGGGCTTGGGAAGATATAGAGAGGAGCGTACTGTATGCTTCTTGGTGCATGTTCGACATCGTCGGGTATTTTGCTTAATATTTTCTTTCAGGGCACTATTTTGAAGGCTACTACGGAAATTCTTTTATATTCTGACATGCCATTCCACACGTCGTTGGAGTCCGCGCGATGACAATAATGTAGCATGGAATGTTGTCATCGTTTAGCCCGGCAATATGCATACAAGACTACACTAGAAAGCGAGCGTTTGGCCCACCTCGGCTGTGTGTCGCCAAGTGCGGGTACGTATTCTAGACTGAACATCGACATCAATCTGCGAGAGCGACGAGTCGGGATAAATGAACTCCCACACGTGTATAGACAATTTTCCTGCCCCAGCTATGGATTACATTCCACGTCAATTATGCCACCTTGTTGAGACTTGGTCTGCCGATCTATGTAACTCGGTCGAGCTCGTCGTGGATGAGACTAATGTCGCAAATGATGACGAATAGTTGCACGCCGGGTAATCAACGTCGATGCGGGGGATGATATGACGCGATAACACGCGATCGGCTATATTAGCAGCGGCACGAGCAGTATTGCGCAACAGCAAAGATTCATAGCCAGCGTCTTGGCCCTAGTTTTTCAACCCCTCTAGGCCCTCTATTAAGGTAGAGTCCATCCATCATGTCTGCCGTTCAAACCATCACCAAGCCCGTTCAGCCGGAGATCCAGTATCATCCGAACTTGGCGCAATATCAAGCGCGTACCCGTCGTCGCAAGGAGACAGAGTCGTTGCAGACTAGCTTGCCGGCAGGATTTCCTCAGAAACTGGTTTCCCCGCTCGTTTGGGAGGGAAAAGATGTTGAGAAACGGAGCGACTGGATTTATCAACTGAGTGATGCTCAGCTGGATGAGATCGATGCTGCCCTGAAAAGTTTCAAAGGTACGGATTTTTGGTCTATTAGTCTTGATCTAACAGTATAGCCAGCGCTGAACAAGCCATTGGGACACATTAATGAGTCAACTTTCCCTCTTCCGAATCTTCGTCCAATCTTGAGGGATCTCTCCAGCGAGATTCATAATGGCCGAGGATTCGTTGTTGTCCGTGGCCTGCGCATCGATGACTATTCCCAAGAGGACAATATCATAATCTACACTGGAGTATCCTCCCACATCGGAAGCATTCGTGGCCGTCAGCAAGACACACGACTGCAAAATGGAACCTCTCCGATGCTGTCTCATATCAAGGACCTCACCAGCACTGTGAACAAAGGGCAGATTGGTGCGCCTTCCAACACCGCTGACAAGCAGGTATTCCATACAGATGCGGGGGATATTGTTTCACTGCTCTGCTTGAGTCCTGCGGCAGAAGCGGGGGAGAGTTATCTCTCCAGCAGCTGGAATGTGTACAACATTCTTGCAAAGGAGCGACCTGATTTGATCCACACTCTCTCGCAGGATTGGCCGGTTGACGGGTATGAGCATTTTAGATCAACATACTACCTTCTAAGCTAACCCGTTCAAGGTTCAACAACCCCGAGAAACCATACACGCTCCGTCCTCTTCTATATCACCAACCAGCCACCGCAACGACTCCCGAGCGTGTCCTCATCCAGTATGCCCGGAGATACTTTACGGGATTCCTCTCCCAGCCTAGGTCTCCCGATATTCCTCCGATAACTGAAGCGCAGGCAGAAGCACTGGACGCTCTGCACTTTCTGGCAGAAGCACACTGTGCCTCGCTAGACTTCCAAAAAGGAGATGTGCAATATATCAACAATCTCAGTATTTTCCATGCACGGAATGGATTTAGAGATGAGCCTGGGAAAGAGTCAGTGCTTCTTTATACCTTGACATTAGTTGAAATCTCTCTAACGAAGAGTAGACGGTACCTTCTCCGACTTTGGATTCGTGACCCTGAGAATGCTTGGACGACTCCTGGACCGCTTCAACACCGCTGGGATACAGTCTACAAAAATGTTACAGAGGATGAACAAATATTTCCTCTGGAGCCTGCTCTGCGAAAGAATTTAGGTTCGTAGGTCTTGGGAATTGGCGGCTCTCTGGCGATTCAGTCTATGTCACCCGTTATAATCCTTAGTCGAACTATGGTATCGACTATACCCTCCATTGACGACACATTCCAGATCAAATCTGATACTGTGAAATGGTCCGTAAACTTGCTGTCTAAGAAATACCAATTACTTTATTTAGTCAGTATAATTACTTTTTGACCTAGAGCCTCTACAACAAGCTTCTGACTACCCGCATCTATTCCCGACTACACTACTGTTCTATATAACCACAGCGTGCAGAGCTAGCTTATTGGCGCGCAGTGATGATCAATATATAAGTTCAGAGACTCATTCCTAGATTTGAAGATATCCCCGCCAGCTCACCCAAGATACATCTCCAACGGCAAATCGTGGTACATCTGGTAGTCCAAGTCAATACTCCACTCCAACACGAAGCACTTGACAAGAGCGACAACGACCATGGGGCTGAGGATCGGAGAAGGTTCGGGAATTGCATGCCTCCAGAACTGTGTCTCATCGAGAGCTGAAATAGAGCCGTCCCACAACATGGCTGCTATTTCAGTTACGACTCGAACGGCGTCACCAGAATTTCCCCGGCCAGCCAAGACAGCGCTTGCAGCCAAGTCTGCCATGTCTTCCCTAACAAAACGCGGATTCCACCCTCTAGCGTCCAATTTTTCTGGCCATTTTCCTACCGCAAAACGGAGTGTGTCTGCTAGAGAGGTGCGAAAATGGTCCATCCTTCCCTTTGCAAAAGTAACCAGGATATCGCGAAGCCCTCGGTGGATCGACCATGACAGAAATGTCCATGGAAGGTTATCCAAAGCTTCATTGAGAACAGCACATTCTCTAGGAGGGACGTATAATGTCACATCACACAACCCGCCGTGGTTGCTAGGCAATTGAAGAACAGCTGTATCTTCCGTTGGTTCTCTTTTCGCATCACTTGCCTTCATGAACAAGAAGTCCACTTCGTTCACGTTGCCACCAACCATATTGTAAAGATGTCTCCCACTGTGAGCGCCACCGAATCCTTTTACTGCGTATTCAAGTACCCATTTGCCAGGTGATTTGCGTCCTGGAAAGGCGCACTTAAAAGCATTTGGTGTTTATGAACCAACAACCCCAGCCAACATCTGTAAGCACTTATCGACCCTTTGTTCAAACATTGCAGGATACACATTCTTGGATAGTTTATGAGAATCATGGGGTCAAAAATAAACGCGCGCAAGTTCTCCAATGCTGAGAGATAACTCGATATTGATGCCTGGGCTGTCTCACTCGGGTGTGTACGGTGCCGCGTCAATACGGGGGAAAAATTCAAAATGTCTTCCAAGAGCGTGTGAGACAGAACAAAATCGATTAGTGATCAGAAATACAGGACCATGCACGAGTCCAGCGTTTTGATCGACGATATTTCATACAGCACGAGTACCACTCAGATTCTAGCCCACCGGCAACTCGATAGCCAGCGGCCCTATCCTACACCGCCTTTGGTGGAAATTTTGAACCCTGGTAAACATAGATCAGGACCGTGCAATCTCTGTTCCTACTTGGGATACATAAGAGGTATAATCAGAAGCAGTAAGTATTTGGACCGAGACTTAGGGATTATCGGTATTTGAAGTGATTTCTTTTGGATTATGTAAAGAACAGGTGGGACATCCCCCCGTATGTTATCGTAAGCGAGACGGATAACCGTGCCGATCGCGTACATTTCGGGGCAAGAGTGCCTGCCCTCGCACACTAATTCTCAGGAGGTGCGTTGCCAGCCGCCGTTGTACATCCAAGCCCGACAGCCAAATTCAGTTGTGGAATGAGCGTTTCGATTTTCTGCGGCCAATAGAAGCGAAGGAAAGGAAATCCCCGAACAAATCTTGTTGCGACCGCCGAAATCATGGGCGACGGCATCCAGCAAGAAAATGTCTCGAAAGGTACGGATTGCTGCACTGATATACAGTTGCTCAGTAATACCATTTTCAGTATAATAATACTTTTCAGTTTGGACCACGCTCATAACAAATACCGCGTACCTATCTGGTCTTCTCACGCTTGAATACTCTCTCAGAAAAGTGGGCTCAAAATATCCGCTCGTCGTTCTCTACACGGATTCGCTCTCCGCCGATGGCCACAAAGCCCTTGATTCACGGGGATTAATGAAGCGGCATGTTCCCTATCTCCTTCCGTCAGCTCCCAAGGACTTCACCAACGATGTGCGTTTCTATGATTGCTGGAGCAAATTGACGCCTTTCTCCCTCGTTGAATACGATCGCGTCGTGCAACTTGACAGCGATATGGTAGTACTTCAAAACATGGACGAACTAATGGATGTCGATTTGGATCCGCCGGAAATGGCTGGGAATGGAAATCGAGTGTTTGCCGCTAGTCATGCTTGCGTCTGCAATCCGCTTGGTAAACCTCACTATCCGAAGAACTGGTAAGACGAATCACCTTTCTTATAGACAAGCATGAGCATGCGAGTGGTTTTGCAGCATGACTGATCTGACATCTCGGAAAGGATTCCGGCCAATTGTGCTTATACTGCTCAGCACAACAACCCCGACATCGCCCAAATCTCTGGGGCCTGCGCCACTGCCGGTTTGGGGATACCTAATGGGGGCCTCCAGGTGGTAAATCCAGCCCAAGGAACCTATGAGAAAATCCTTGAACAGCTCAACACCTCTACAACATCGGAGTATGACTTTGCCGATCAGTCTCTTCTCGGAGACATATTTTACGGTCGCTGGGTTGCACTCCCATACATATACAACGCACTCAAAACTCTCCGGTGGAGAGGCGTGCACGACGCCATATGGCGTGATGAGAATGTGAAAAATATACATTACATACTCAGCCCGAAACCGTGGGATGAATGGACAGAAAAGCAGGAAGAACCTAAACAGGTCCAAGACCCGTCCCATGTATGGTGGACTGAATTGAATGGAGAAAGGATAGAAGATGAACAAAATAGAGGCACGAGGGACCAATTTTGAACCGTTCCTCTAGAATATATAGATCACTGCTCTCTATTCGTCGCTATACAGTAGTTTTCAAAATCAGTTATACCACCATACTCTTGCGACTTCTCTCCCCGAGAATTATCCGAGACAAGCTAACCCCTCTTAGATCACCGCTCTGTAATTCCGGCAGAACTGTAACGGTACTTGCCAAACCACTGTCAACGAGTCATCGTCACAGAACTGTAATTTCCCATGGTCGCTCGTACAATCGCTTGGTAGATCTGATGATCAAGATCGCTCGCCCGCTTTGCCCCTTTCTCATCAGTTCCGTTTTGATCCTACAAGTCAACCTTCCTTTTTTTTCTTCTTTCTTTTCTTTCTTTTTTTTGTTGGCCCGCTAGTGATAATGTAGGCCGCTGTGCTTGTGCTAGAGAGAGCTTACCCTGATAGAGAAATTATTTTATTTTATTTTTCTACATGGCTCCGCGCTACCCAATACCCAATTGCGCCTCTCATTCGGTACCAGGATCAAACTAAATCTGGCTTCTCCACAAAGCTAATAGGGGAATTGTGGTTACTCTGTGGAGATGAGCCCATATCACATGGAATATATAGCTCAGTCTGTGGAGCATGAACCATGGGAATATAACTTACATTATCGTAAAGATGCGACTGACGACAGGCAAGAGGTGTCAAAAGGACACAGGAGAATATATAATTTTTCTGTTCCCTTGCCTCTTTCACAATGACACGTCAAAATATTAGAGGTAATTGTTCGACGAAAAAATGCTCGCTGATATTACATCAACAAGCGGCCGTACCAAGCGCAAACTGACCACCGACAAAAGGTAGCTTTTGATCCGGTTTCATCTTTTTCTATTGGAAGCGACTCATGCTGTAAACCAGCTCCATCGCTCTGTGCCTCGCTTAGTAGGTTCGGGGTGCGCGCACTTGTAAAATTTGAATGGGGTTTTTGTCTAGCATTGAGCGTGAGCCTCGATCCCTGAGTAGACTGTTCAGCCCATTAAAGTCTCCATCCTATTTAGCACATTATGCACAAAATGGGCACGCTTGGGCAGGGCTGTGGGCTTCACCTCCCCGCCCATGGGGGGACTGTACCCAGATCTACTCATAGACATCAATCTAGCCAAACTCTTCGTCTTTTCCCGATCATCTCGCACCCCCTTTTGTCCACAAATTCAGTCTCATACACCTCATATTCTTCCAAGCTTGGACAGATAGTAGAAAGTAGCATGTGCCCGGATTCTTGAGTGGCAGCGTCGACAGTTTTCTTATAATCAATCTCATACTGTTCCATCACACGGTGTCCAAAAAGCGGATGTTGCCGCTGTATCCATCGTTCTTCCAGTGAGATGGAACCAAACGGCGCTTCGAACAAGTCTAGGATAATCTTGAGATCTTGAAGACACAAGTCCTCCAAATAGAGAACAATTTTCAAGGATTTGCGGCTCCTGAAACCAAAAGTAATTGTGTTCACGAGATCACGAAGATCAACATGCCTCTTTTGAAAAGGAGCGGATCTGTGAACCCAGCTGGCAAGCTTGGCCAAGGCGAACGCAGGCCCCACAATGCAAACGATTAGTCCAATAAGAATGAGTAGCTTTGGTTGCTTTATCAGTGGAGGGGCATTGTCCCCTGTCACGATCAACGGGCCATTAACGTGACCTGGCTCGGGATGAAAGATAACCGTGACCTCTCGTGCCGAGTCACATAATAGAGGGTACGCCTTCAACATATCGAGATTTTTAGATATTGACGTAGCGACTTTGCTAAATCCACCATACTTGGGTGTCTCGACCTGCAGGCATACCGAGGTGTTTTGAAAAATGATGGCCATTGATTCATGCCGTACCTGCCGGCAAACAGAGAGAAGGTTCAAATATGCGAAGACGCGGGATTTGAGACCTGTAGCACTGACAATGAACTCATGCGGTTCTATCTCAAACTCAACCCAGGAAAAGTCACGACATGGCTTCGTTTTAGGACAATTTCGGCTGATTGAGAATTTGATTATCTGGCTTCGGAGCTCGAAGGGCAAGTCCAGGAAGCGAAATGGACTTGGTTTTACATTTGGGTCCTCTGTAGCCCAGTTATTCAACCGGACGATTTGCAAGAATTTTGTTATGGCTGACCTAGTAAAGTCATGTGGCTTGTTTTTATCAGAGCTAAGTGTCACATAGACAGAGCTGTTATAAAAAAAAAAAAAAAAAAAAGCGACGGATTTTCTCGCAAAATCGAATTTTAAAGGTCCGCGTCCGCGCCAATTCGGGCGAAGTAAGAGCGTGAGGCCGTGGCTAGTGTTGAAGGAAATGCGGTGAAGAGCGAAAAGTATGTAAAGATCCTAACGAAAGCTATGCCAGCTTGTTCTTTTGGTTGTACTGCAAATATACGACTTGAGGCATATAAGGAGTTCGTGTTGACGAAGATGGAGGAAAGGGGAGAAAGGGAAGAAGGGAGGAGGAGTAGGGTGGTGGAATTAGGCGGCAGTTTCTTTTACCATACCGGTCTAGTCGGGATAACTATGTGCCGAATGGCTTCGGAGGTTTGCGTGAATGTCAATTTTCTAGGACAAATATGTTAAGACGATTCGAAATAATGAGATTTTGCAAAGTATTGCCGACTGTCCAGCCTAGAACAATGGCGTCCATTTATCGGAGTCCTTTGAGTTCACATCTAACCGCCGTGTCTCAAGTAATAGCTTTGCCACTTCCCCACGATCGTGCTCCGCAGCCTAGGATAGGGGCGTGCGAGCATCAAAATCCTTCGAGTCAACATTCACCCCCTCTGTCTCAAGCAATAGCTTCACCACCGCCTCATATCCGTGCTGTGTAGCCAAGGATAATGGAGTCCGGCCTTCCTTGCCGATCACTCCAACTTTGGCCCCTTCTTGTAAACATATTCGAGCTGTACTCTCGTTTCCATTTTGAGCACCCCAAAGCAGAGCGGCATTTGAGCCTCAAGCATCCAGTCTGTAGAAGCATGGATTAAGGAGAGAATGGAGTTGTCTGTTTGCTGGAGACAATGAGTTGATATCTCTTTCTGTCAAGAAGGTCGCTAGTTGTAGAAGTAATTCTGAGGGTAAATGAAGCAAAAAACATCTTCATTGAATCTTCGAGCGATGCCGTATGGAGAAATGTAACACCCGAGAAGATGCCCAAGGGTGATGGGAGGAAGTTTGGTTTGTCTTCGATTGGAAAGGAGGGTAAAATGTGTATAGCAATTTCGTGTAAAATACACTCCGAGAGGTCTCGTAGTCGTATTGTAAGGTACTGCTACTATTATAGGAAGCGGTCTGGAAAGCGGGGCTTATGGTATCCTATCCAATCGAAACTCGCATCCTTCGGATTTATTTTCCGGGAATCAAGTCGTGAGAGTGTGGAGATAACTGATTTCGAAAACTGATTTCGAAAACTGCTGTAGTGTGTTCACTCCCACCGGATCTCCTAATAGTAGTCATTTGTCGGGTTCACTAACCGACGGCCTAAAACGGCCTCATTTGCGCCAGTTTCTGTCAGCCCGCTTGCCATCTGCTACTGTATAATAGTAATAATAAACTAGTAGCAGTAAATCATACGATTTATGTTTGATCAGAGTCATGGCTGAAAGATGTCATCCGCAAATACGTGCTGTCGGCCCCATCCATACTCCTATCCAGTCTTCATTATTGGAGTCTCATGGACCCCAATGTTCATAATTACGGAGGCAGGAGGGGTCGGGAATTATTTTGTAAATCAAAAGAATTGTCGTAGTAAAATTCCTTCCCAGACCTATGATGGGGCTGATATCTAGGCAGCCACTGCTTGTTAGGCAGCACGGCTTCTATACGGGGTATCGAATCTTACCGCTGCCCTTGTGGAGCCATCGGCTCGGGTTTGTTTCCAAGACCCTTTTTTAGTAGATTAGTAAGTTCTATCGTATCGTTAGTTAACCCCGAGCCGATCTTCTCTGTACAACTTGTATATTATAACAAATATCTCAGTTTCTAGTGGATATACTGTAAATCAAAAGAGGTAGGCATTAAATTGGGTCACGTACTGAGTTGGCTCTATTTTTTTTTTGCTAAGTTTTCCTGCTTTGCCAGTGTTTCTAGGGTATCTAAGTGGATGCAGCGGTCCGGGAAAATAAAATAAGTGCTGAAGGCCATATTGCAAAATTATATTTAGAATGGAAAAGCCACTGAGGAAGTGTTCGCTTTTGGACGCCTTGGACTAGTCAGGATCAAGGCAGCACCATTAACGCAAGGCCAAGACGGTATAACGCCCAAGCGAGAACTACGCCTTAGTTTTTAGTCTAGCCCTGTACTTGGGTTGCACTACAGGTGATGATCTTTGTAATTCCCCCTTCTACACGACGATTGATTCTCATTCAGTCCCACACAGATCATCTCTGTTTTCCAGAAAGGGTCCAAATATTCGATCTTCAGACTGTGTATTATAGTATGGTCTAGTTAGGTCGATGTTGGTTTCAACGGACGTAGAGTATGTCTTACCCTAAAACCCAAAGTAATCACGCTGTAAATCTGCTAGAAAAGCCCGTATCGCCAGATCTCTTCTACTCTACCCTTCGGACTATATTTACTTTGTTCGCGCTCCCACTGCGGACTCTTACCTCTTCTTGCTTGCTGGCAACGGAGATTCTTAAAGTTTCGGTGTCTCATCTCATGAAATAACCTATCATGGTTGTTTTGTTAGGGAGCAGACCGACCAAGTCTGTTCTGGTTATTCTCTGTCTCCTCATTGTTTTCGTTATCCATCAGCTCAGCTTTGCAATTGACTCTGCCTTCGCCAGCCGGATATCCGACTCACTTGATATAATCGATAGATGCATCCCCGATGGTCTCCAGCCCCTAAACAATTCCAAGTCAGTTGCGGAACCAGAAATACCGAGCATCGTTCACCAAATATGGAAAACCACCGATGTCCGAACGTTTTCTAAGGAAATGAAAGCGTCTCATGACGTGTGGAAGGACAAGACCAGGCCGTTCAACTACACCGTCAAGCTCTGGACCGATGACGACGTCCTCCGACTCATCAAGACCAAGTACGCCTGGCTACTCTCCACATACGAAGAGTACTCTCACAACATCCAACGCGCCGACATCGCTAGGCTAGTCGTCCTCCATGCAGAGGGTGGTCTATACGCAGACCTAGACGTTTTCCCGCGCGACGTCACAAAGATCCAATGCCTCCAACGCCTCGGGCTGCCAACCATCTTCGCCCCTACGTCAGCGGCCTCGGGTCTTAGCAACCACTTCATTTTAGCCGAGCGCGGGTCCTCGTTCCTTGAGTGGGCGCTCTACAAGGCTAAGCGGCGAGGTGCGGCATCGCGACATATTCTCCTACCGTATCTACAAGTGTTTTGGTCCACGGGTCCGACGATGGTGACGGCCGCGTTTCAAGAGTACGCATGGCTACATAGCGGACAGCAGCACAACCTGGGGCTTATAGATGATGGATACGTCCGCGCGATGGTAGGACATGCGGCTGGGAGATCATGGCATGGACCGGATGGGCGGGCTTTGAACTACGTGGCGGATCATGGGCACTGGTTGATGGTTGTCTCTTTTCTTCTTATGACGGTATTCGTCCTTGTCTGTGTTGTTAAGAGAGGATGCTGGGGTGAAGCCAGAGGGTTTTTGCAGAGGACAGTTTACGGGGGTGCTAGAGGTGTGTATTGGTCATCATCGTGATTGTACTGTGCTCTTTAGATGTATATTATAGACATGACCCTTTATGAATGCTCGATTTATTCTATAATTCACAAGATAATGGCAATGACCAGATAGATCTGGATCTAAATAGGCCTGGTAAGTCTACATATCAATTGCGAGAGTTACGGCTGTCGGAATCGTTAGAGCCTAGCTTGCTAGGAAGAGAATGTAGTGAACGTCTGAGTGAGTTGTCTATTAAACCACGGTCAAAATATCGGGTGCCACCGATCGGGAAAGTTAATCGATAGATCTTGTGCTTCCATATCGACGATTTCTTGAACGTTTAGGCGCAGTGTGGATTATATGCAGTTCGCTCGTACCTATTCTGGCGGTGCAGACGGCATCAACTTCGCCGCCGACCTACAATGCCACGCCATGGACGCATGGCAACGACACTTCGCCAGAGCACAACTTAGTAACACCTTTGGCACTAGTTAACACTCTTTGCGATTATTGTTATTGTTACAGTCAAGTTGTCCCCAGTCCCTCAATACTGGCCCACTTGATGCTCTATCTCGGGAATAACCGAGATTGCCCTTACTATACGTCCGCAGTATTAAACAAGGTCGTATTGCTATGAAGGGAGTAGCGGTGAGAATCTCATCATTATTGGCCAAGGTAGACGGTGGACTGTTGCCTAGAGTCTAGTATAGACCCTTGGTTGCCCGTTATACGAGCGATCTACCCCAAACTCCGGACTCCGAGCGCCGTTTGTCTTTGCCCCCTAGGTCTGTTTGTCTGTGCGCTAACCAAGTGGGGACCCCGCGGCGCAGGCAACGCTTTCAATTGCATCACTCGGAAAAGCCTTACCGTTTGAACAAATCTTTTCCTCCAGATAATCATAATCATGCGAGGTTCTATCCTCGCCTATCTCTGGGGCACCGCCCACCTAGCAACAGCGGTGCCCCACGACACGCAACACGTCCTCGCGCCGGCCCCCGACATTCCGAGCGTGTGGCCCCAACACGGCGATTACACTGTTCCCGATGATGTCCTGGCTGTGCTGAACGAGTATTCAGACCCGGTCGCGGCCTTCGTTGCTCTTCAACCTGAAGCCGAAGCGGTCTTAGCTGAGCCTCGCCTCTTGCAGGTTATCGGCGAATCGAAGCCAGAATGGATGACCGAGGGAGATAAGCTGCGTCTGCGGAGACAGGTGAAGAAGTTCATAGATATCACTGATCATGCGGAGTTCTATGCGGAGCTGGTGCATGAGGCGTCGGCTGGAAAGCCAAGTAAGCTGGCTCTATCCTTGTGTGCTGTATCAGACTCCGGTTGACGTTTCATCTGGCAGATCTTCCTGATCTAGTACATGAGTCGCTTGTCCGGCCTCTATTCCCTAAGGTTGACACCGGACGAATGCTCGGTGTCCTCGAGCACATGACCGGCTACTACAACCGCTACTTCGATGACATCTATGGAGAACTAAGCTCGGAGTGGCTTCATGACCATATTGCCCAGGTAATCATTCCATGATCGAATCCACCAGCAGCTACTTACCAAGACGGTGTTAACATTGAAACAACTAAGATCATCGCCAAATCTCCCCATCGCACCCACATCTCACTGGAATATTTCACCCACCCTTTCCGCCAATCATCCATCATCGCACGCTTCGAGCCCAAGGTCCGCAATTTCTCCGCGCCGTTGACCATCCTCGGCGCGCACCAGGACTCAGCCAACTATCTCTTCCCGCTCCTTCCTGCACCCGGCGCGGACGATGACTGTTCCGGCACCGTCAGTATCCTCGAGGCATTCCGGATTCTGGCTGAGACTGGGTATACCCCCAAGAATGGCCCGGTCGAGTTTCACTGGTATGCTGCCGAAGAAGGGGGATTGCTGGGTAGTCAGCATATTGCCCGGTACAAGAAAGAGCAGGGGGCGCGGATTGGGGCGATGATGGAATTTGTGAGTGGGCTCATTGGTCCCATACAATCTGGTTTTGATACCATGCTACGATAATACTAATGATAAAATATCTATGCAGGACATGACAGCCTTCATTTCTCGGAACGCAACTGAGACTATTGGCTTTATAGCAACTCAGGCAGATGACGCGCTCACAAACTGGACAGTGGGCCTGAGCAAGAAGTACATCTCGATTCCTGCCAAGGTCTACGAACTTCCCGGGTAAGTTAAGCTGAGCTCGTTCTTTCTTGCGTGCGTGCTTGCTTGTTTGTTTGCACACCTTTAGCTGACGGACGCAGGGGGGCTGGCTCGGACTACATGTCTTACACGCAACTCGGTTACCCGGCTGCTTTTGCTTCTGAGGGAAACCCCAAGGCTGGCGGCTTTCCGGGCGAATTCGATCCGTATGTTCACGGAGTGTGCGACACTATGTGGGTTGACGATGAAACGGGCTATTTCTCAGTTGATGTGAGTCTGATTCTCCCTTTCTATTCTATTATGAGAATTTCTGCTGAGGAGTACGGATAGCATATGGCACGATTCACAGAGTTGGCGATCGCCTTTGTGGTAGAGCAGTCTGGGTGGGATAACAAATGGAGATAATCACTTCCTCGGGCTTAGTGGGAGTTTAAAGCAAGTACCTAGGTGCAGACTCGTAAGTAAATAACATACCAGATATTTCAATATTATAAACTCGAAATCAACTTAAAACATGGACAGTAGAAGCAATAATTAATCGCAGAAACAAAGTCATCTCAGCATGTCCATCGACAAGGGACCACAACACCGTCTCATCCATCTGCAGACCTACCTACACCACAGAAAGTATAGATGCAAGAAGGCGTGGCGTGCGCAACGGCCTAACTACAAGGCCAAAACAACAACCCCCAAAACACCCCCCAACGCAGCCACCATATCCGTAGGCATCGTCCCCGCTGCAGCATTCGTCCCTGTCTGCGTGGCAAACGCGTCCGTCCCCGTGGCAGTAGCGCGGAACTGACTCTGCTGCGCAACAGCCTTCTCATTATACCCGGACGCAGTAATAGTCCACGTAGTGGACGACTGAGACCAGGTGATGATTGTGCCGGAGGGCGGCGCGGTTACGGTGCCCGCGACGTTGGACAGCGTAGCAGTGCCGTTCTTGGGCAGGTTGTTGGGCTGGTAGAATTTGTCTGAGGGGTCCGCGAAGCCGACGTTCGGGCAGCTTATGTCGCCTAACGTGGCGTCGCAGGAGTCCCAGGACCAGTTTGGGACTGTGCGGTATAGATCGGGCAGGTCGGTTGGGAAGAATACGCCCCAGAGGTCTGCGCCTGCGAGGACGGGGTCGGTGTTTGGGCAGACTTCCCATGCTCTGTACTCATTTTGTTAACAAAAAGATATAGTTACAAGGTAGGTAGGGGGCAGGGAAGACTTACGCGGAAATACTGGCGCTGGCGCCGCAGCAGGCACATTCAGTCGCCTGTCTGGCGATATCAAGTCCACCGCTCAGGGCATTCAAGTTGGACAAATCATCTGCCACATCGCTGGTGACATTGCTAATGCATTTTGCAATCTCTTTGCGAGCCGACAGCGTCGACTGAAGTACCTTACCCAAACTGCAGGAGCAGCGGCGTGGCGCATCATCCGGTGCAGGCCAGAAGGGGATCGGCTCCACTGCATCGGGGCAGATAGAGAAGTACTGCTGTACGAAGAGCTGGTATTCGCAAGAGTAGACCTGGATGGGGAAGTCGGGTCAGTATTTGAGGAACTAACTATATATCGTAATAGACAAGATAGAAAGGAAAGGAAAATACCTGGTTCCAGCACGACTCGGCCATGCAATTGATATACCGCTGGTGCGCGGTACAACCACAGTTCACCGAGCAATCGCCATCGCCATTGCACCCATTCACGCACGACGACCACTGATTCGCGACATCAGCGTTGCAGGAAGTATACCCATCCGACGCGGCGCAGTCACCGGCTGTGATATTGGTCTGGGCCGCGGACAAGCCGGTCAATGCGGCAGTAGCAGAGAGATAGAGATAAGTGCGGGCGAGCATGGTGATCTGCGATGACGCTATCCCGTATTTCCAAGAATAGAAAGTGAAGAATGGGAAGAACTGATCCGGCCGGGCGCTGGTAATCTTTTTTGGGAATTTTTGAACGCGGGACTGTCTTCTGCATTATATAGTCGTTCAGTCAGGCCCCATTTGGCTGCGAGACCGACAGGACAGGCAACATCAGCAGCAACAATCATTGCGAACACAGCCGTCATCGCTGGTACTCGGTGCATGGTCGTACAGATTCACCGGGTCGGATGAAGACCCGATCCTGGTGCGCGCATATTTCACATGTACATTAGCCGATCAGTTTCTGTCTGGCGAATGGCTAGGGCTCTGGCTGATTTGGAGCGACCAGGGCGGTCAGTCCCCTTGCCGACACGAGGCTCGGCACGGAGGAGATGAAAATAAAATGAAATGGTGAAATGAACCTTGCATTTCCGCATCGAGATATTATGTCATGGCAGGAGCTGAAGACCAGCAAGAAAAACACATGGGCTGAGCCGGCCCGAATGGCAATGGCATCGACTAAAATAAATGATGATGATGATGATGAAACAAGATACAAACAGGGTCCATCCAGATTGCAATTGGCATTCTGTCGTGGCAGGGCAGATGCTAGAACTATAGTTCTGTCGTATAGTTAGTGACTTCTTCATGCACAAACACACCCAGCCAGCCCCACGATGAATCCCGATAGGCGTCGATCGCTGTTCCTTTCCTGGTTTTAGCGTGCTAGAGGCCCCACTGTGCAGATCGTTATTACTTGGACTCCTTACCGTGCCCTGACTATCGATGCATTGTTTGTTTACCTTTCACCAAGGGACATACTACTAGAAAGAAGGAGCGCAAAAAGAAAGAAAAACCACGCTCGTGATCGCTCACTGACCAAGCATCTCAAGAAAGAAAATACCCAATCCCGCAATGCAGAAGGAGTCTCTCGTAGTGGAAATTATGGCCAGTCCGCAGACAACCAAGGAATAATGAATACACAAAACTACCAAAACAAAGCAACCAATGAATCAATCCCAAGTCCGGGTTCTGACATTGCAACACAACAACACAGGAACAACAACAAAAATGCATCATTACAACACTGCAAACGCACCGATAGCAGCAGCCAGCATCCCGCCCGAGACGCGGTTCGCCACGCCTGCGTTGGTGGTCGGCACAGAGGACTGCGAAGGAGTCATAGAGGCAGACTCAGAGATCGACGACTTGGTGGAGGTGTGAGACGAGCCGGTGGTAGCCGTGCTCATGGTGCTCATGGTGGTGTGGGTGGTGTGAGTGGTGTGAGTGGTGGCGCTAGTGGACGCAGTTGACGACGAGGTCGAAGTCGTGCTGGCGCTGGTGCTGGTAGGAGAAGACGAGCTCGAGGCAGGCGTGCTAGAAGCCGCGCCCGTCGCGCCAGCGACGGTGAACTTGGGCAGGAAGTTGTAGTCGTTCTCGTCGGCGTCGTCAATGATCTCGATGGTGTACTGCTGGCCGGGGATCAGATCTGCGGGCACGCTCCAGCTGTAAGTTCCCGAGTTGGCGATGTTGGCTGGAGGTCACAAATACAGTTAGATTTTGGCATTATTATCCAACATGGAGGTGCTTACAGGCAATGGCCACGCCGGAGTCTGCAGTCGTCACGCCACCGGCCTGCTGCAGACGCAGCGACACGGTGCCGGGGGTGTCGGCCTTCCAGGTCAGGGTGGTGGTCTGGCCAGCTGTGAAGGTGTAGCCACCGGCGGGATTGTTGAAGGAGTTGTCAGAGCTCTGGGCCGTCGCGAGGGCAGCGAAGAGGGCTGTGGCGATGGAGATAACGGCGCGCATGGTGGTATAGATGCGTGTGTACGGGGGTTATGGGTATGGGAGGGGTATATAAAATACGGGAACGGTGATTGTGATGATGGAAAAGTCCGTCAAGATAAGTGAGTCTGCGGGTGATAAAAGGTAAAAGAGAGAAAGGCAGACGGCGCAGAAGAAAGAGCGAAGACTAAGAATAACCAAAACGGCAGGGGCAGCACAGCCGGGGGTGGCTTCTCTCTAATAAAAATACCCGAGCTAGTTCAGTCAATCACTAACTAGCGCTTTGGTCCGTGGCTCGTGGGCCGCGTGTGGGACCCCACGAGAATTCTGGTTATTGGTGGACTTGGAGGCTGCCTGAGTCGGCAGCGATTGCCAACTACCGGAGGCTTAACTGAGGGTTGTGAGACATGATCCATGGGAAATATTGATATTGCAAACAGAACCAGGGACGATTGCAGCAAAATGTGGGGATATCGTAGTGCTAGGAGAGTGAATCATAATAATAATAATAGTAATGTACAAATCATGGATCGGAGGAGCCCTAACTCGGTAACTCGAGGTCGTCTACTTCTGCTCTGTATTGCTCGGAGTCTCCGGCTCAGCATCCAACAATCCACCCTGGCCCAGCTGCATGATCACCTCCATCACTAGCCGGTTCTCGTCTTCTCTCTGGCGCTCCAACAGCTGAATAAAAGTGTCAGCATCATGTCAGGGCGCGGACGCAAAAACAATAATAAACTCACAGCCTGAAAAAGCCCCTTGCGCCCCTCGGTCTCGGCGGTCGCCTTGGTCTTGCCGCCGCGGTCTGCCACCTCATGCGAGAACTTGCACTGGTCTCCTCGGTTACAGCGCCCATGTCGAGCAAAATAGCGACACACTGTGGGTTTCTTGTGGCCCTCCCGGGGTGGCGGGGGCACGCGCTCGGGTCCCTGGCGCTGTGCGCTTACCTCCTCTGGTGCGGAATCTGAGTCCGACTCGGATGAATTACTAGAGCCGCTGGAGGACGTCCAGTCATCGCCGTCATCATCGGACAGTCCGGACAGGTCATGGGGCTCTTGAGTAGCGTCGTGGGCATCGGCCAGCGATCCCACATTGTGCTCCTCCGACACAGCCACCTCTGGGTTCATGCCCGTCTCCGTCGCCTTCGTTAGCGCCTCTACCCGACGACGAGCCGCTTCAGCCTCCGCCTCGGCCTTGGCGAACCGTTTCTGCTCCCGATCGAGGTTGCGCCGCAACTTCTCGGCCTTCTGCTGTGCCCGCATCGCCTCATCGACCGGGTCTGCCGCCGGCTTGGTCTTCTGCCGAGCAGCTTCTCGGGCAGCCTCCCGGGCCGATTTGGCCTCGTCGGCGGCCTGCTTCTTTTCCTCTACTCGCGCCTGAGTGGGGAACTTCTTCCTGCGCTCCGCGATCCACGCCGCAATATCCGTCGCCGACTGCAATGTAGACGTGCGCCCTTTGTAGGTAAATTGCAGCGGGGCCGCATCGGAGGTAGCCAGCTTCGATTCTTCGTCCACGTCGTCCTCGCTGGACTCGTGCTCGTCCGTCTTGGGGGTCAGGCCTAGCTGGTTGTGTTTGCGCTTTCTCTTCTTTGGTGGTTTGCGTGTAGCGTCGACCGCTGCGGGCGGCTTCGAGGGTAGGGGATTGCCAAAGCTGGGCACGGGAGGCGGCGCAGGAGTTCGCGGTGCGGTCGATTGGGATTTGCCAAATGCTACCGAGTGGTCGCGCTTGTGGTGATGGTGAGGCTGAGGCTTTCTGTCACTGGCACCATGTGGGTGTGCCGGCCACCCTTGTTGTGTATGCATATAACCACTCTGCATGTCAACACCCCACTGCATAGGGCTTGTTGATGTCGGCGCACCGGATGAATATCCAGGTCCTGGCTGGTGGGGGTATGATGCAGTCGGCGGTGAATGAGAGGAGGTATTGTAAGCATGATAAGGATGTTGCGAGGAAGACTGTGGGGGTGCGCCGGGAGCGTATGGAGACGGATTCTGAGGAAGTTGGTAGCTCGGGGATTGCGACTGAGGATATGGCATGTAAGGTGTCGGCTGCGGTTGGGGATGATACCCATAGTTCACTGGCGAATGGTTGTTGAATCCTGCTGTATTCGAAGGATAGGCTGGAGGTCGACTACCATCGTGTCCACCGCGTCCTCTTCTGTTTCCATGTCCTCTGCCACGGCCTCCTCGAGCCCCGCCGCCGCGAGCCCAATGCCCCGGGTGCTGTCCATGAGACGCCGAGTTGTAGGGTAGTTGCTGAGCTGCCGCCGTCGACAGAGGCGGTGGCGGTGGCGGAGGAGGGAACGAAAAGCCCTGGGAGCTCATCGTGGTGCTTGGAGATCCAGAAAATCATTGAGTCGATCGACGGGTTGATCCGTTCCGCGGGGTCACGTGCACCGGAGCTGTCTGGCATGGCTGGGCAGGGTTTTTGGTTCGGCAAGATCAAGCAGCAACAATACAATAATGCGCTTCCAGCCGTGAGATATGGAGATGACAGTTCCATTCGATACCTAACCCTACATCATGTTCATCCTTGTATGTTTGCTCCCCAGCTCCCCAGCCTGGAATATCCGAACTGACTGGCTGCGACCAAGACGACTCTCGCCGATCTGATCCAGATCGCGCCCGAGGACTTCTCCAAGTTCAGTGCCGTGGCCATTGAAGATAATATCAACGAGAAGTACGCCAACAAGGTCATTCAAAAGGTTGGCCTGTGTATCAGTTTCTACGACCTGTTGGAGTCTTCAGATGGCTTGATCGGCCATGGCACCGGTCTGGTCAACGTTAATGGTAAATATTTTCTTATGATAATGTAAGGAAGACCATTTTAACTCTTGCCAGTGAAATTCCGAATGATTGTCTTCCGGCCCTTCAGAGGCGAGATCATGCTGGGGAAGATCGCTGGTGCGACAGATCGCGGCATCAAAAGTGCGAACCCTTGCAGGCATGTGGTTGAGATTGACACTAACAACCAGACAGTTGGCGTGGAATTCTTCAACGACATCATCGTTCCTCCGGAGCTTTTGTTGGACGGTACTCGATTGTGTGTCGTCCTTTCTTGTCTTGTCTGGTCAACCTACTAACCCGTGGCAGTGATTATGCGGACCAGGTCTGGATCTGGCGAAACGACGATGGCACCGATTTCTACTTTGATGTGGGCGAGGTGGTCCGGTTCCGCGTCGAGAGCGAGGAGTGGCATGACCAGATCCCCAATGCGCCAGAACTGGATGACAGCGCCCCCATGGAGAGAAAGCCCGCGTATTCCATTCGGGTGAGTCTTTTTTGCTTGGTGATGATAGGTAATTCAAGCTGACTGTTCATTTCCAGGGCTCGATGCAGATGGCTGGGTTGGGACCTACATCGTGGTGGTGATTGTAGAAGCCTTTGAATTCATAGTCCGATCAGATACCCCTGCAATCAAATCAAGATCAACGAGCATTTCTGTCTCTATCTATACGGTGGGAGTCGAACCATGCGGTCTTTGTGCCTCTCACTCTACCTTTGTAAGCATCTACCACCCATCTTGCGAATCGCTGGGGGAAATGGTACTGAGACTCTTCCTCAGAGTTACACCTCACTCATGATATGGATGAGCAATGCCTTTCGATCTCCTAGATTGGGTCTGTATATGCCTCCCTTCAACACTTCTCACTCGACGGTCTCAAGTAAAGTTTTATTCAAACCTCCGTTGTGCACCTTCCTCCCCATCCGGCATTTGCTACACCTGTACTACCGGTGCCAGTGTGCTTGGTCCGGCCACAGCCATCGACGTTACGAGAGAGTCAAGAATAGCCCTCCTTGTCCTCTGCTTGCTTCTAATTTTCCATTGACGCAACGAATGATGCTGAACTCCTCTAATTCTAACTTTCGTACACCATCGGACCAAATCGCACCGCCCTGTTTGCACCGTCTCAGACAAAACACCCACTGTGGATATTCAATTTCATAAGATTGTCTTTCCACTTGTAGAATCGATGGAGATAGCGATTGCTCCTACCTGGCGTGAATAAATGATTTATGCAAAGTTGTAATACCTCGGCCAAAGGTTATTTATGTCACGCGAGTCGTCCTCTTTGATTTCCCACTCCATGCCATCACAAACCTCCCCGCTGGCATCGCAGAAGGTACAGATTCTTTCAACGACACCGCTTACGTCTGGAACAGGGTGCAATGATGTTATAAAAGATAGAGTTTCCTGAAAGATGAGTCTGTCTTACAGACAAGTTAAGGTCTAGAGTTAAGGCCCAAATAAAATAGGAGCTATTAAAATGACCAGATTTCTCAGGGAGAACGTAGGAAGCACCGTGATGATATATATCACTTTAGCGTGGTGGCCCGACGGAAATTGGACTGAAAGCATGAGGTAAGGCACCTGAGATGCTCGTGCTGTAAAGACGATCTCGTGAATGGCTGTAGATACCCAATTTCGGGACATACTGTAGTTACCGAAAGGCACAGTAATTAGTAAATAGTCTTCCAGGCCCATCACCCCATTACTCCGAATACTCCGATCGCTCGGAGTACCCAGCATCTCTCCGACACTAACTCGGCTGCTGCCGGCATCTTTTCCCCAGTGGGGCTTAGGACGATCCGACCGCCAGTATAGTGAAACGTTGCGACAAAGTTTTTGCCTGATTGATAATAAGAATTGAGTTGTTCTAGGAGATCTTTTCCTCGCCAGGTTCTTATTCGGTAATTGTGTGTCATTCGGGGCTTACCAATCCTACGCCATCGCAAGGGCGGCTGATCTCATCGCTGTTCGTTATCGATAAATACTCCGTCACCCTCTTCAACTTTCTGTCCCGCAATTCTTTCCCTCCTACAACAGAGACACCATGACAGGATCTATGGAGAACGGGAACGTCGTGACAGAGCGCCGGTTTGGCACGCTAGCTGTTCATGCTGGTGCGCCTCACGACCCGGTCACTGGAGCTGTCATTGCGCCTGTGAGCTTTTGTCGCAAGCTAGCTTCGTCAGGACCGGGCTAATTACCTTCATACCTGCTAGATCTCCCTCTCGACCACATATGCACAGACTAGCGTCGGCAATCCTGTCGGTCTGTACGAGTACACTCGCAGCTCCAACCCCAACCGGTCAGTGATTCTAGTCCCCGAAGAAAACCCAGACATTGACAGTATGACATAGTGACAACTTCGAGCAGGCAGTCGCCGCTCTCGAACACGCCAAATACGCCCTGGCCTTTGCCTCAGGATCTGCCACAACAGCTACCATCCTCCAGTCTCTAGCCGCAGGCTCCCACGTCGTCTCCGTGTCTGATGTGTACGGCGGCACGCACCGCTACTTCACCAAGGTTGCCGCCGCACACGGCGTCCACGTTACTTTCTCACCGTGCATCGAGCTGCACGTCGAGGATCTGATCCGGCCGAATGACACCAAGCTCATCTGGATTGAGACGCCTTCGAACCCGACGCTGGGCCTGGTGGATATCAAGGCCGTAGCGGAGACGGCGCATCGCCATGGAATTCTGGTGGTTGTGGATAACACATTCATGAGCCCGTATGTGCAGAACCCGCTCGATCACGGCGCGGACATTGTTGTTCATTCCGTGACCAAATATATCAACGGCCACTCGGTGAGTGATTGACCCTTTGGATGAGTTAATAATGACTCATGTAGCTAACTATTTGGTGCAGGACGTCTTGATGGGCGTCGCAGCCTTCAACTCCGAGAGTCTCAAAGAGCGCCTCACCTTCCTTCAAAACGCCATCGGCGCCGTCCCTTCCGCCTTCGACTGCTGGCTCGCCCACCGCGGTCTGAAGACGCTACACCTGCGCGCGCGCGAGGCCACCACAAACGCCACAACTGTAGCCAAAGCCCTCGAGGCTTCTCCGCACGTCCTCTCCGTCAACTACCCGGGCATCGACTCACACCCGCACCGCGCCATTGCGATCAAGCAGCATCGCAATGGCATGGGCGGCGGGATGCTCAGTTTCCGGATCAAGGGCGGCCAACGCGCCGCGCACCTCTTCTGTCAGTATACTAAGATCTTTACGCTGGCGGAGAGCTTGGGTGGCGTGGAGAGTCTCTGTGAGGTACCCTCGAGCATGACCCATTCGGGCATCCCGAAGGATCAGCGCGAGGCGGCTGGGGTGTTTGATGATCTTGTGCGTGTCAGTTGTGGTGTGGAGGATGCAGAGGATTTGAGAATGGATGTGTTGCAGGCTCTGGAGGGGGCTGTGGCGGGTGATGAGAATATGGTCAATGGCAGCTCTTGAGCTGGGAATGAAACAAAGATCATGAGATAGATGTGCTACGGTGATCTGACATAGACTTGCTTTTATTCGTGCTTCGGGTGGATATATATATCGCGCATGTGCTCGATGATGCTTGCATATCTTAATACTCTTGGGGTCAGAGCTATTCCTATGAAAAAAAAAACTTATATTTTCCGGACCATCAGTAAATACTGAAATTATGACCTAGTTCCTATAGATCTGGCCGGTTGTCTCTGGCGGGGAGAGAGTAGGATGTGCTTAGTCAGCACCTTCCATCCCGCTGCAATTTTTATATGCGACATGGAGTTACCCGATTGGAAGAATTGGTGCACAGCAGGAGCTCGGCTATTGTTTAAACCTACTTGTCTCGTCTCCGATACCTAGCCTCGGTGATCAGCCACCTAGATTGGCCTACCTTGACAATGGCCTTCAGCTTCGGTTTCTCTGGAGATGATATCGATATCGATGAGTCCGAAGGCAATAATGAGCTTCCGGATGTTTCGTCTCTGCAGGAGAAGGACAGTTCACTTCCTGAGCTGGTGAAGGCGAGTCAACATGACATGAATGACTGGGTACGTATTCCACCGACCTCGCGCTTGCGTTAGTCCTTTCCAATAAGGTCTCGAGTATAAGAAAGGATTCTTCATCTCCACTCTCCACTGCTATTCTAACAATCACACTAGCTCTCAACACTTCCATCTCAAATATCATACAACACCCTCGTAATCAAGGGGGACCGCCAAATTGCCCGGCGAGAAATCTTCGATATCCGCACCCAGCTGATGGCCGAGGACAGCGCGGGCTACGATAATGAAGCGCTCATCGCCGGGCTGGAAAAGGGCGATATCAAGCCCCAATTTTATGAGGGTGGGTTCAAGACGTGGGAGTGTGCGTTGGATCTTGCCAGATTGGTGACTGGTGAGACTGGGGAGGAGAATGATGCAGGACAAGCAGAGGATACTCATTATATCGAGGTTTGTTTGTCTGATTTTTTGCCAAACTTGATTTGGTATATATGGATAGAAGCTGACCATACATGCGATGCGTAACTAGTTGGGTGCGGGCACTGCTGTGCCGTCTTTGGCTCTTTTTGCGAGTCTTCTATCTCACACGTCGGGCTCGGAGCAGCGAAGGAAAACACACTTTACATTGGCAGACTACAATGCTTCGGTGCTACGGCTGGTCACGCTCCCGAATCTGCTCTTGACCTGGCACAACAGCCGCGCGCAGCCTGGCCTAGAAAGCCAACCACAACAGACACAAGAGGAATTAGAGCTAGATATCACGCCCGAACTCATCACCGAATTCAAAAACGACCTGAATCAACGCAGAATCACCGTCTCCTTCATTTCAGGCGCCTGGTCGCCAGAGTTTGTGGACCTGGTTTCCTCCGCAGAGAATCTAAACAGCGACCAGAAGAGACACTCGCTCATTTTAGCCAGTGAGACCATCTACTCCCCTTCTTCGCTGGGGGCTTTCTCGGAGACTCTTTTGGACTTGTTGCGTCGTGCGTCCACTGCATCAACATCAACCGCCCAGACTCGCGCCCTGGTGGCTGCGAAGAAGGTCTATTTCGGTGTTGGCGGTGGTGTGGATGAGTTCCTGGCTGTGCTGGCGAATATCTGTTCCGATGGGTTGGATGTGCAGCAGAAGTTGGATATCCAGTCTGAGGGCGTTGGTCGGGTAGTGCTGGAGATTGGACTGGCGAACCACTAGTTAGGGTTCCTCTAGAATCGTGAATAATGCATAATCTTAAAGGGAAGAACGGGCAATCAATCAACCCTCACAGGAACAGGTAACGAACAAATGAAATCGAATTATCCTGGTGCCGGATTGAGAAACACTTCAAGCCTCAACGTAGTTATATGTACATGTTGTTTTATTTCCTCAGATCGTCTAGAGGGGTTGTTCTCTCGACATCATACACCGACACAACCTTGCCGTCCTTCATCCGCGCCACCCGTGCCTCCTCCATCTCCTGATTCTGGCGCTGGTAGTGAGCCACGACGGCGCTCAGGTCGGCCTGCGAACCGGGAGAAACGTTGTAAGGCGAGCCCGCATTCATCAAACTAGACAGAAACATAAATTAATACCTCGAAACCATTCAAGATCCGCCGCGTGGGACAACATACTCAGGCTGCATCAGCTCATACGCCTGACGGGGACCTTGGCTCTGTAGCAGGTGGCGATCATGCGCGGCCTTCTCCATAACAGCGGTGCGGATGGCATTGCGCTGCTCGAAAACTTCCTGCGAAGGCGTCCACTTGCTGATCAGGCCTGAGATGAAGGACTCCGAGCCGGAATCCTCGTTCGACTGGCTGATGCGGTACAGCAGGTATGCGGAGGCGAAGCTGCCAATAGTAATGTAGAAGCTGGGCTGTTGGTGCAATTGGATATTAGTGAGTTGATTTCAGGGAATTGCGATTGGAGACGAGGCAATTGGCCGGTCTCGCTACGCTGGACTGGCGGGGGAGGATGGGAGGGAGCTTACGCCGAAGCCTTCGTTCACCGGTTCGGCGTGATGACTCGCGAACCGGCGGGGCTGCTGGTTGCGCAGTAGCTGCCGCGTCGAAGCAGCGGTGCGTCGGGCGGCGAACATGGTGTGGTGAGGGCGTAAGGGTGCAATGGAGGTGAACGACGACCTTTCGGGCGGTTTAGGCGGAAGCGAAGAGGTCATGTGATTAGATTAGTCAGCGATCACGGGACTCTCATTATTTACATTGGGTGATTGTGATAATTAAGTTCTTTTTTTTGTCTTGTGCTTGTTATTTTCTTTTTCAATTCTTCAATTGACCGCAATGACGCAGTCAGAATCCTGGCACTGTAACGTGGCAGATGATGGCAGCCCGAGTCGCATGTCGGCGACGTTGCGGCCTCATCTCGTCCACCCTAACCCGTGATGCTGTCTGCACGGACTCGGCTCAATTGGATGGATCGCACCGTACCATTTATGCAAGGCATTGAGTGCCACTAGCCATCGATCGAACATGTCGCCTCCTTTTGCTCACAGCCCACCCACTAGGTTCTATCCCTTGTCCCGAAAACTGATGCCCGATGCCCAATTCCACCCAATTGGGCTCTCGCTTCAGTTAGGAACTCAATGCTGAGCCGTGCGACCATGTCTGCCCCTCATAAGGGGTTACCCACGCCAATAATGACGGTTCGGTCCGCTGCGACCTTGTTCAGCTTTGCAAGGGCTGAAAGGCGCATGTCTGTATTTATATCTTTGCGTCATGCCTTGGAATGTGGACTTGCCTAACTTGTCGGCCTGCTGCCACTCTCATCGTGTATCTCCATCATTTGCGCCTCTCCCCCCAAAACAAATTTGAATATATGCCCGATCTTCTTTTGCTGTTGACTCATCATACCCTACCCATCTTTTGAGCTAACTATATCTTTGCGGCGTCGCCAGCGCAAAGTGAAAGCTTACCCAACACATTCTTATTCTACAACATATATTCTTATCCGTGCTGGCTCGGCCTGGAGACACGTCTTGCCTCTCAACTTGGGCACGCAACCCTCAGCACGATGATTGTGGCGGGCAAGAAGGTCAAGCTCAAGGATAAGAATGGCAGAGTGGGAGCAAAGCCGAAGGTGAAAAAGAGTAAGAGTCCAGAAAGGACGGACGATCAGACAACTGTCTCCGAATCCACCGCTCCTGGTAGTCCTGCTCTGTCGGCAAAGCATGACCAGGAGTCGGGTACCGGTCGAGTTTTATCATACCTCGATTACATATCTACATCCGACGACGAAGACGGTGATATTGCACGACTTGCCAGACCTGATCCCGTGGCGATCAACCAACCCACAGTGGAAGACGAGGAAACTGACACTGAAGTACTCACATTGCCAGCCGTGGACGTATTAAATTCGTCAACGCTGCTTGATGATTGTGTCGATGGAAAACATCTACCAGAGCAGCAGAAACAAAGTGCAGAACACTTTCCGTCATCACCAGCTGGTCCGTTCTCTCCAGTCCCGGCTTTCGTGCCATTGCCGTCACCATCCTTGACCGAGGCACGGTTTATGCACAGCCCTTCTCCAGAGAACCACTCCTTCCACCCGCCGCATCCTGGTTTTGTGGGCTATCCAGCACCAAGATTTAGCAGTCCGCTTGCATATTCCCATTTTCCTCGAATGTCTCCCAATATGTCTCCATACGGAACACCACCGCCACCAGTACCGTCAATGGCAGTGGTCCCTACAGCACCATCCTCGATTGCACCTGTTCCGCATTCTCCTGCCATGAGTTCTATTGGTGTCGTCCCTCCATATGCCCCTTATGCTAGTTCCCCGCCACCAACCGAATACCACTTCCCGTCTCGTGCCTACGGTTATTCCGAACAATCTTATACCTCGGCGTCCCAAGCGGTGCGGGATTTATCTCTCAGCCAAGTGCACGATAACGGGGCCATCTCGCCACTAGAGAATGACAGTGAACACATCGAACTTCTCCAGCGGATCCAATCTGCGATCCCCGATATCAGCCGTCTGCTGCACGGGTTCAAAAGCACGCACAGCAAATTGTCTAGTCGCGAAGCCGAGATCAAGCATATTGGACACCAACACGAACAGGCACTGATGCACAAGGATTTCTATATTGAAGCCCTGCAGGCACAGATGCGAAAGACGGCCAACGAGAGCGCTGCAGAATGCGCCAAATTGAAAAACACGGTCAATGAACTGCAACTGGAACTGGGGGACCTCTATGAGAGACAGAATGGTCTTGAGGATAGTTTGGCGGCTCATCAAAAGTCCAACGAGGAGCTCTCGCAGTCTAAACTCGACCTCGAAGCGCAGATAACCAAGCTCAACGCCCGTATCCAGGAAACGCAGCATGCTCATGAGAAGGAGATAGAGAAGCAGCAGAAGGAACGAGACGAAGCTCTTGAAGCACAGAGACTGGAGCTGACCGAGTTATTTGAGGAGATCAAGAACGAAGATGAGAAAACCGCTGCAGAGGCACTCGCGACTCGCGAGAAAGAGTTACTCGACCAACATGCAGCCAACAGGGCTGGATGGGAAAAGGAGAAAGCGCAAATAACATCACTACTGGAATTCGAGCGCAACAATATGGAGAGTATCAACGCCGAACTCGCTACAAAGTCTGCAGAGTGCGAGTCCAAGAGGACTGAGCTGGACGCTGCTTTGGCTGAAGTCAAGACGACCCGCGACGACTTGATGGCTAAGCTGGCAGCGAAACAGAAGGAATTGGAGGAAACCAATGTGACCAACAGAAGAGATCTGGAGGCACTCCACCAAGGCCATGCTGGTGAACTGGAATCTTTGCAACACTCCCATGAAGAGCATCTAGCTGCTGCAGTCAAGAAAATGGAAGACCATACCACGTCCCTGGAAACTAATTTCAGGGAGCAAGAACAGAAGTGGGCTGAAGAGCGCGCTGTACTGGAGACATTGCTCTCTGAAAAAGATAGCGAGCTGTCGAGTTTCGAGCAGCAAAAGGAGAAACTCGAGATGGACACGCTCATTAAGGAACAGCAGCTCCAGCGCGCGGCGGATGAGATGCGGTCGACCATCGACCATCTCGACAAGGACTGTCACAGACTAAGAACGACGCTTCACAGTCTGGGAGAAGCCACCGATCTCAAAAATACAAAGGGCGATCAGTTCTTGTAAGTTGGTTCGATATAGCCTAATAATACACATTCTAACAAGAAGTCTGAGGTTCTAGTTTCGACTGCTTCACTCAGCTCGCGCATCTGATCTCTGATCTGTCCTACGAGCATTTCTCCTATCTCCCCGTCGATCCTCCAACGGATATCCTATCCAAGATCCCACCCGAGATCCCCCCGTTCCTCGACAACACTCCAGCCTCTCGCGAGCTTCGCTGTGCCTACGTGCAGCACATCGTATCCAAAACGCTTACCTACCGCATCTTCCAGCCGTTCTTATTTACTCTGGGCCGGCGATACGACAAGGCCGACGCATTCTTCCAAATGCTGTCCATGGACATCCGCCGCAAGTCCGTCTGTTGCGAAGCATTCTGGAGACAGCAAACCCTCAAAGCAGCCTACACCACCTCGGACGCGAAACAATCCATCAACGTCGCCGCTGCCGTCCTCGTGGACGAGATCATCGACCAGATCCAGCACTTCGCTGACCCCAGGCATCTCGACTCGTTACTCACTGACGTGCGGAAGATAGTGAAACTAGCAGCCGAGACGTGGCGTTATGCACGGGTTGAGCACGAACTCGTGCTGGCTGGGTTTCCTGCCCCGGGCGCGGAGAGCGTCGCGAACGAGGACTGGATGGAGTATGGGCCAGCAGCGCCAGCAGCAGCGGGAGAACAAGAAGAAAAGAGTTGGGTCTCAGGCCCTCGGAAGAATCATCCTAGCGACCATACTCGCCATGTGGTGCTGCGGATTTTCCCTCGCATCCTGCGCGAGGCTGCCCACGAAGACTTCGCTAGTAGCGAGGAACGTGCTGCAACCTGCATTTACTCGCCCGGGATCGTTCTTTACTCTGACTCGCCTGTCATCCTGGCCCGCCGGGAGGAATTGGCGACCATGTCCGCCGAAACTTCTAATTTCGAGATGGCTAAGCTCGACACGGCGAGGGAAATAGACGATTATTGCGACAAGAAACTCATGCTGGAGAATATCACCTTGAGTGTTCCGTCGCCGCCTGCGACTCCGGGCGCGAAGGGACTGGTGAGAGCATAGTTGGGTAGCTGGGTTGGGTGTTGGGACTAGGGTTTATGCTTGTTTTCATCTGGGTGGTTCCCCGTCTATGACATCTACTCGTTAATTGTTGTAGTTAGTTTCAAGGAGCGCACAGCCTGTCTGTTCTTCTGAATTACGTACGTTCCAATTTTCTTTGAATTTCCTGATCTACCGCACTAGTTCAGGGGTAGGTACATACGGTACAAGGATCAACAATCCTCCTCGATCTTCTTCTTCTCCCTCCCGATGGGCGCACTGAAACACCCGCTGGGGAGACTGCCTCGCGCTGCGCCACGTTTCTCGGGTTTCACAAGGCCGAAGATGGGTAGATAAGCAAGGGCAGACAAGCCAAGCTCATGGAGCCGCCGGGGATTAACAAAAATGGACCCCACGGGACAAGAATAGAAGCCGATCTGAAACGAGCCATGTGGCACGCACTAATGTCTGGGAGTTCGGCACTGCCTCTTACTTATTAGTTATCTAGGGCTGGGGGCCGAACCGGAGCTATGTCATCGCCTGTTTGTGTGGGGAGCGAACCCTTACTGTGTATAGTGGGCGCTCCGAGGCCCTCTGAGGATTTGGTGCGCGTGGGCCATCGTAGAGGGGGTGGTGGTGTTCCTGCAGGGCTGAATCTGCTGTCAAAACAGAGAGGGCTACAACTGCTGTAGGTCAGTCACCAAGTTAGGGCTGTCTGTATCTGCAGTCTCGAGTCAGCCGCGATGATCGGCCACAAGGCGTTCTACTTCTTTTTCGTCCGCCCCCAATCGGTTTCCCTGATCTACCGAGCCTGGTCTGCTTCTGCTTCTGAATAATTACCCCCTCCATTTTCTTCTCTGTACTCATTTCCGCACTCACTCCCCCCCTTTATCCTCTCGGCTTTTTTCACACCACTACCTCCATTTAATGAATTCTTCTTCCCCCTTCTTGATAGACCAATGATTTTCTAATAATCCTCCCCTCCGATCACTACTCGTGTTTCTCCCCCGCGGCTCTGGATCTCCGACGATGTCGACCGCCTCGCCGCAGTTCGCCCACCGCTCGCCCGCAGACAACAACACCCCCCAGTGCGCAGGATCCATATCTATCGGCCCCGTCCGACCAAGATGAACTTGACTTCCAGGCCAGCGCAATCCGCCTAACACCCATGGGTGGCAGTCCCAACCAGAGTGCGGGCACCGGTTCATCGCCGAACGACCGACAAAACCCCGCGGCCATGGACTATCGCGCAAACACCTCGTCCCCCTCAAATCCGGTCTTTTTGGGCCCGCAGGGTTACACCCTCAGTGCTGGTGCTGGTGCTGGTGCGGTTGGCGCCTTTCAGAATCAACGGTCTTCGTCGCGAACCGCCCATGGTGGTGCCACGGCGCCAACCACCCAAGCTTGGTCCTCCTCTATGGCCGTGAACCCTTCCCAGTTGCTGACGCCGGAACCCACGAATAACAATCCTACACCAACTCAGGCGCAAGCCAGTCTTAGCGTTTCGCAAGATGCGCACTTTGGGCCGTCGCGCCCCCGGATCTCCACGAGTAATCTGGACGCGAATACTAATGGGAGCCCCATCGTGATGGTGGAAGAGGTGTCGCGGGGGGACTCCCCGACAGACGTCTATCCCCCCAAAAAGCGTTTTAGCAGATCACCTCTGCATCTCTCCCCTCAAGGCCCTGGTGAACTGTCCAGTGAATCGGAAGATAATGACACCGATGACCATCGGTCGATTTCTTCGCTGTCTGTGGTGCGGTCTCACGACGGCGCCTGGTTGGCGGACCCTTCTACCGGCCAGGGAGGCTTGGGCCCGCAATCCCGCGGGGACGAGTATGTCCCGAGTCCAAACCAGGTCAAGAACCAGCACGACCGTCAAGATAGAAACGCCGATATCACCATTTGGTCGGCGACGGTGAGCGCAGCAACCGACGGAGTCGGCAATGCACTCGGCATTCCGTCGCATCGCAGAAATCAGGCAGGCTCTCGCTTGAGAGCAAGGAGTACTGGAGATCGACCCCTGCAGCAGCAAGACTACCTTAGTCTGAAGGGTGATAAGCGCACCCCGGGTCCTGGAGTGTTGATTCACGAGAGCAGTGAGGAGGATCTCAGCGAAAATGAGTCTGAAGTCTCCAGTGACGAGGAGTCGGCTCCCGTCAATGTCAATGACACTGGGTATGACATTTCCAAACAGGAACCTTTCCCGTCAGTTGACCTGACCTCTACCGACGACGATGGTTTCCGTCTTTATCCATGGCAAGACCCGCCACGCAATCCAGCCCCTCGAACAGAACAGTTCCAGCCTTCGAGTTCCCATGCAGCAATGGTTGCCTTTGAATCGCGGGTGCGAGATTTGGAGACCGCATCACTTGCGGCGACCATTGATAACAATAGCATCATCAACGTGAGAGCTACGCTGGAAAATTTTTCGCTTGAAGATCGGCCCAAAAAAGCAGAGAGACGACCTAGCCTTCTGAAGCGTCCTTTTTCAAAATTAAAGCGCCAGGCGTCGGACCTGTCCCTCGGTCAATCGAACTCCCCTTCCAAGTCCAAAGAGGATCACCCGGAACCTCAACGGAAAGATAGCGGCAATTCGCCACGCCATCGTCTGAGCTTGCACAAACACTCGCGAGGATCGAGCATTAATAGTGCAGTTATAGCCATGTCAAGCCAAATAGCGGCGATTGGCAGCAATCACTCCGCTCGCGCCGCCTCACCCAACACAGAGGCTACCCCCATGTCTCTTTCGGTCAAGGGCCGTCCTCGAGCCCGTAGTGAAGTTCCGCGACCGGCGAGCCCGGGACTCATGGATCTCATGACCAGCCATGGTGGTCCACCTGTTGCCAACCTCGCACACTCGGCAAAACCTGGGTCTGACACAGAACAAAGCCCGGGGAGCACAGCTCGCGGAGCTGAAGGCCCTGAAGGTGCCGATGACGATGACGAGACGGGCATGGGTGATGACTCGGGGCTTGTGATGGACTTCCCTGCGGTATCACGTCTCCCTGTTCCTACCATTGAGGGATTTAAAGCGCAGATCATGCAGTTGAACCCGCTGCTCGAGCCGGCATTGATTCATCGCTTTGCCAACGAGCAACTTCGGCGGTATGAGAACCTCGTCAAGCTCCAACAAAAGCACGCGCAAGCTCTCACGAATCGTTCTTGCCGCTCGGGCAAGTTCTGCTTTGCCTTGGGAGGAGACGCGTCGTTGTTGCAACTTCGCAAGCAGCCTGCGAACTCCGACACGGGCAATACCCAGTTCAGGGTGACAGATTTCAACCAGGGTCGCGATCAGCCCTATGCTATGGTCGAAGGAGCCATCGCTGCGGCTCAGTTCCCTCCCGGGGTTCCCCTTCCCCCGGTTTCGCGACTCCCTGCCCAGTTCGAGTGTCCCATCTGTTTCGAGGTCAAGAAATTCCAGAAACCATCCGACTGGTCTAAACATGTCCACGAGGATGTGCAGCCGTTTACCTGCACATTCCCCCAATGCAACGAGCCCAAGTCGTTCAAACGGAAAGCGGACTGGGTGCGCCATGAGAACGAGCGGCACCGGCAGTTAGAGTGGTGGACCTGCACATACCCCGATTGCAGCCACACGTGCTACCGAAAAGACAATTTTGTGCAGCACCTGGTACGCGAGCACAAGATGCCCGAGCCGAAGATGAAGAAGAGCAAGGCTTCGGCTTCGGAAAAGCCTTCAGAGGCCCAACGAGAACGGGACATCGAGCGACTTTGGGAGATGGTCGAGCAATGCCGACAAGAAACCAAGCAGCGCTCAGAGCAGGAGCGGTGCCGGTTCTGCGGAAATATCTGCGGTAACTGGAAAAAGCTCACGGTCCACTTGGGCAAGCACTTGGAGCAATTGGCCATGCCGGTTCTGGAACTGTCTAAGCAAAGCGTTGCCTCATCCAGCACCGCTCTCCACCCAACAACAACAACCAGCGCAGCAAACGTCGGCTCTACCGCGGGACCGGAACAACAAGCTCCGCTTGCTGCAGCATACCAGACTAGCCTGCAAACGCATTTCCAGCAGGGGCAGTACCCGATCAGCAACACCAGCCCGCCGGTCACTGGTGCGAACCCCACAATACCGTTCGAGGTTCCACTTCTCAACTACACATCCATATCTGGCGAGCAATTCTCAATGGAGCCGGAGCCGATCGCCGATTCTGGTGAACAATATCCGGGGTATGCTGTGGACCAGTTCGGGCAATCAGCTGCGCTTCACCCGGCCCAGGCCCAGACCACCCCCCTGCATGCGAACTCGGTTTCCTACCCGCCGCCCTACAACGCAGTGCCCAGGCCGCGAACTCCGGACCCGAATTCAGGCGTGCTGCAGGATTCGTATTCCAGCATAGGATCCCAGTACCCGGCTCAACAGGTGTCCATGTACCCCACCCAAGAGAGCTATTCCGGGTACCACCCGTCCATGGCGTATACGTCTGCTTCTTACTCTTCTGGGTATCCCGCCACACAGATGTGATTGACGATTCGTTACTTTGGTCCCTGGTGTTTGTTTCCCCCCTTCATTTTTTGAGAATGTATATACCATATACCCCCCTTCGCTCGCGTCTGTTTGCTCTTTTGTTCGATTTATTATTCCCTCAGCGTTATACCTATGATAGACAGGCAGCCATGTAAGCGAACCGAGGCGAAGCATAATTGCATATTTGGATGAACGGAAAAGCCGCGCAAACTTCTTTATTTAGGCTTTGGCCCGTACATAAAACGCATGCCTTCTCGCTTAGGTCGGGAATTCTGTCTCAGACCGACCAACCTCCCGAACATCCGCCACTCCGCCGTACATGTGAGCAGTCATGTTGTTCCTCCTGCCCCGGGCAACGAGGACGATAAGACGCATGGGTGTCAGTAGTTGGTGTCAGCCACCTTGAAAGGGAGGGGATCGCCTGGTGTCAAGTTTCAGGATCACTGTTTCAGGGCGATGGGGATACATAAACATGACAGCGGCGTCATGTTCATCCCTTGATAGGAAGAAGCATGGCGTGGTGTGGCGTGGCCATCCGGCCTAGCTCACCCCCCCGCCGATCATCCCCTTCCCGATTCGTCCTTGCTTCGAACCGAACCGTGCAAGCCACCGGCTCTTTTGTTTTGTTTTGGTTTGTTTTTCTTTTGCTCGGGTGTGTCGGGGAGGGAGCGGGTCTTCGCGAGCCGAGTTGGGCTCCTCGCATGCCTCTTGCAGGGACGGAGATTGTCTGCCTCAGGCTAAGCCGAACTTTCAGGCTATACTTAGATCGTGGAACAGATTATTTAATATTTTATTTGATATACAAATACCTGTAATATCCTAGCCTAAGGGTCTAGTTGTTAGTGTTATCTTTGCTTATTTCACCATGGTTCGTTGCACTTAGGGCACATTTTTGCCCGGGTAAAGCCGTAGCGGGGGGCTGTGCACCCACGCAGGGATGTGCGACATCAAGGGATGAACGGTATGCATGTCTTTTCTTTTCTCTGTGTTTTCTCATTCCAACCCTTGATCGACATCGCGTGGGAAAGTCAAGTTCGTCGCTCGCGTGCAGTTTTAGTTTCGCATGTGCGTTGGAAGGGCCCGTGTCCATGCAATCCACATGGAGTGCAGTAGGCCATGATTTCATATCCTATCATAATATAAAATAAAACTACCTCCCCTCCTGCGAGGTTGGATCTGACAGTTTCATCCTATCTTTGTTTGGGCTTGAAACACTGTCCATTACCACCCACTACAACACAACACAACATGGAGGTGAGTTGTGTATGGCTTATTCCCATCAGGCACTTCTAACTTCGATATACTTGTAGGACCCCACCTGGCACGGCCACGACGCCGATGTACTCCACGGCCTGATGACCGGCTGTGAGACCATGACTTCCTTGCCCTCGGACCTGTTTGATCCATTCAAGAACTCCGGACTACCCTTTGGAGAAGCGCTGCTGGACGGCTATGATGGTCTCACTCCTCTGCACTCCGATCTGACTGGCCAATACAAACACTCCGACCTGAATTTTGGAGACTCTCTGCTAGATCTCCACCTCCAGCAGCCTGAGTTTTGGTCATCAGCGGAATCCTACGACCTATACTCCTCGCAATACGCCACCTCCTCCCAAGATGCCTGGACCCCGCTACAAATCACCGGTGTCCCAGCTAATAACCCGTGTTCTTCGCTGGCGCAAATGAATGCGGATTTCTACTTCTCCAACAACCACAACCACTACGGCACACCCTCGGAGTGCGAAAGCCAGTACATGAGCAGTCTGCACTCGGATTCGGGGTATGGTACCGCGAGCTGTGCCACGCCGTCAGTCGTGCCGTCCTCGTACGGCATGGACATGACCTCCAGTCCTTCACAGATCGATACCCAGGACCAAACGACATGTCCATTCAACCAATCCTCACCGTCACACATGTATAACGGCTCGGTGAAATGCGACTATCCCCGTTGTTCGTGGGTAGGCAAGTGTCTATCAGACAAGAGGTACGGACGTTCGTCACCTTTTCTGATCAACTACAAAAGTCTAACTAAAGCGAACAGAAAACACAATGCCCGACACCAGAAGCGCTTCAAGTGCGACGAGCCCAACTGTTCCCGCAAAGAGGGCTTCGGCACGATCAACGACCTGGCCCGCCACAAGAAATGCGTGCACAACAAGGAGCCCGAGCGCGGGCCTAAGATGGTGTATATGTGTCTTGGGAAGAGCTGCCCGCGTCCGGGTAAGAAGTGGCCGCGCTTGGATAATTTCCGGCAACATCTGTCCCGGATGCATGGGGATGAGGACGCCGAAGTACTATTGAAGAGGTATGTATCGATCTAGAAATTTTGACATTGTGGATATGGTTGGCTAATCGATATTTCTTACAGATCTATGGATTGGTATGAGGCTTCCACCGCATGCTCAGATGCCCAGCCCGTGTCTCACAATGATGTGGACCGGAGGAAACGCAAATTTGTGGCCCTGAGGTAGCGGCGTGGAGCAGATATATATATATTGTAGTGTATTTGTGTATCCTTGTACGAGCAATGAGATTCGGCTATTTCGCCTTGGTATCTTTCTTGTCTTCATTAAATCAAAGCAAACATATAGTTACAGGGGTGATAATTCGCCAGAAGAACGGCTCATTTTTTGGAGCCGGCCATCTCGCGAGCTTTTTTCTCCAGCACGGCCACCTCTTCTGCGGAGGAGTTAGCATTTCCCCGTACGAAAGAAAAAATTGATTCGAATGTAACACACCATTCTTCTCGAGCTTCGACTCGTCCATCTCTAGCTTCATCCAGGTCTGGTAGATGACCTGGTAGGTGAAGACGGCCCCCAAGAACACCTTGGCGAAGGGGCCGGCGAATGTTCGGTATGCGGCCATCTAGAGCTATATTAGAATATCAAATACGATGATCGTAAGGCTCAACAACACAAAGATAAGTAGGGAGAGACATACACCTTGCTTGTAAGAGCTTGGTTGGGATGTGTTGCGCGCTGTGGTTGTGGAGGTGAAGGTCCGGGATTGCCTGAGAAGAGCACGGCCGGACAGCCCAAAGGCTGACGACCAGAGAGACATGGCGAATGATATCTGAACAGATCCTCTTCCGCTCTCCGTGTAGTACGGGTTCCGTGGTCGTCGTCGTAGATATTTCCAGGTCTTCATGCTCCGGATGCCTGAAGAAGGGGAGCTGAGTCAGCAGTCACATGATATCAGTCCGATTGATTCTGGCAGGCCGCAGGAATGGAGCACCAGAACCGCCGGACCAGAACGCTTTCTCTGTCGTCTCGTCAGCACTCTCTCTGACACCTCCTGCCCTCATTCCCCCCGGCCGTCCACCCCGTCTCCCCCGCATCAACGGGCCTCGATCTCCATCAATATGAGGTTCCCAGCAGACAGGATGGCTTATTTCTCCCCAAACCATCCCGACTGGGCGCCCTCAATGGCCTATTCAGGGCGGACTTGGGGGTGCCCATTATTGTCGCCCTTGACTCTGCAAACCGACACTTGAGATGGTCCGTGCACGACTCTAAAGATACGGTCTCAAACCAGAAGGCGGTGTACACCGGCAAATCTGGTGCCTGGAGTGGCTCGTGCGCAGGACAAATCGCGCGAGTCACTTCCGCCCTTGGCCCATCACGCTACTGTCCGACGACGTACCGACTCCCTCCACGCTCTCTCGACCTGCTGCCTGCTGGATCCTCGATTCCATCGGACATGCAGTCGGCTCTTGTGTCTGTCGTCTTCAGTGTCTAGCATTGTTTATGGTTGCATGCGGTTCACTGTTCGAAACTTTGTTTTCTCACGCGTCGGCCCCCCCATCCGTCCATCTGTCGGCCTCGACTCTTTCGCATCCTCAACCCATTTGAACTCACCATCCTGACTTTGATTCATTGATCGGCGACTTGTCGTTCCCTTTGCAGCGGGTGGATTGTTATCGCGGTGCACGGAGACCCGAGGCTCGGCGCAACCGGTCCATTCTATCGCTAAGCGATATCAGATCATCAATCGGTGCATGTATGTTCCCCATGCGTTTATTGCTTGGTATTGTCGAGTCTTGGAGACAAATTATTGCTCTGTGATCGGCATCCGTTCCGTTTCTTGATTTGCTGATATCCTTCGCCGCTGACAGTGACCCCGTTAGAAGACCGCCATCATGGGCTTTTCCAAAAAGCGCTCCCTCGCGGAGATCGAGGAGATTGAGGAGATCGTAAACAAAACCGACTCGGATGACGAAGATTACGATGATCGCCAACCTCGCTCCACGGGACGCGCAAAGTCACGGTCGACATCGAAGAAAGCTAAGCGCTCGAAGAAACGGCAACGTCGAGGCTCAAGCGATGACGATCTCCTTTCGGATGACGACGATTTAGGCGGGGATAGTTCTTTCGATGAATTGGAAGAAGATTCAGATGACCCGAATATCGAACGAAATGCCAGAGGCAGCAAGCGTCGTCAAACAACCCAGAAGCAGCTGATGTACGCGGAACCTTCTTCTGATGACGAGGATGAGGTGAAGGACGAGGACGAAGATGAAGTCGAAGTCGAAGACGAAGACGAAGACGAGGAGGATGCCGTTGCCTCTCCCCCGCAGAAAAAGAGCAAAGTGGTTTCTCTGAAAGTTCCACCGGAGGCTTTTGACAATAAACGGATCACCCGTCAGCGTCGAGGACCCTCGGAAGAGATGTATGCTCTGACCAATTCTGGCAACCACGCGGAGACTGTTCGGCGTGGTACGCGAAGCCCTGAGACTGCACCACGGCGCGGATCCAGGAGTAATCGAGCGGTCAAACAACTTCCCGTCGATGAAGTGTACGAAGAAGACAAAGTCGATCATGAAGAGGAGGTTGTGGAGCAAATCGTTGTTGAGGGCTCTCAGCCAGAGATCATGGAGAGTGACCCCGAGGCTGAAGGACAAAAAGCTGACGCTGTGATGGCCGACGACGAGGGTGCCGTTCCCGAATCTGATACGGTGGAAGCCAAACCCAATGAAGCCGAAGAGGAGGACGATGACGAGGACGAAGATCCGGTAAAGCGACGGCGGTTGCGGCGGCGATCAAAGCAGTCGGCCGAGGAAGAAGACAACGCACAGGTGCGCCGGTCCGGCCGAAAGAAGCCCGCATCGCAGCGCAAGTCGAAGACTGAGGAGAGCGACTTCGAACCAGATGAAGAAGAGGAAGAGGACGAAGATGTGGTGTCAGAACCTGGCCTATCCCAAGGCTCGCCTCGCAAAAGTCATGCCGAAGAAGAGGAGGACAGCTCCACCGGTCGGCGTGCTGGTCTACGTAAGCGAGGGTCTCGATCTCGTGGAGCTTCCGAACTCCCAGAAGCACTCGAGTTGGCTGAGGAGCTGGAGGATCTGCGGGGTGGTCGTCGACGTCGTCGCCTGCCGGAAATTATTCACGAGAAGCCTCGTCGCAACCGCAAGGATGTTGATTACCGCCTCATTCGTCCGGACCTTCTATTCCCCATCGAGGAGGCTGAGAACGAAGTAAACGAATCTCCCTCTCGACGTGGTCGCGGTGGAGGTGGCTCTAGCTGGCAGCGCACTCTATTCCCGACGTACGGCCCCTTTGGTGGTGCTGGTTCTTCCGCAATTCTTGGCCCTCCCGGTGCACCTGCTGCCGCCGGAGGTGCCGACAGTGACAGCAGCGATGATGAACCTGTGTCGCATCCCAAAGGCCCTCCTGGCCTGGCTTCTGGCGGTGGTATTGCTCCTCAAGGCCACTCCGCTGATGCCGGTCAAGGTGCCTCTGGTACCCCAGCAAACTTGGGCAAGATGAAGGACAAGCAGACCTTGGCCGATGCTGATCCCTTGGGTGTGGACATGAATGTCAACTTTGACAATGTTGGAGGCCTGCAGGGACACATCGATCAACTAAAGGAGATGGTTTCCCTCCCTCTCTTGTACCCGGAAATCTTCCAACGGTTCCACATTGTTCCCCCGCGTGGTGTGTTGTTCCATGGACCGCCCGGCACGGGAAAGACGCTTCTGGCTCGCGCTCTGGCGAACAGCGTCAGCTCCGAAGGCCGCAAGGTGACCTTTTACATGCGCAAGGGAGCAGATGCATTGAGCAAATGGGTCGGTGAAGCTGAGCGACAGCTTCGTCTCCTGTTTGAAGAGGCTCGCAAAACACAGCCTAGCATCATTTTCTTCGACGAGATCGATGGTAAGCAAAAACTAGTCTTGATTCATCCTATCATTAAACACTAACATGCTCGTTCTAGGGTTGGCTCCTGTGCGGTCAAGTAAGCAGGAACAAATCCATGCCTCGATTGTTTCGACCCTCCTCGCGCTGATGGACGGCATGGACGGTCGTGGTCAAGTGATTGTCATCGGTGCTACTAATCGGCCGGACTCTGTTGACCCGGCCCTTCGCCGACCCGGCCGCTTTGACCGTGAATTCTACTTCCCGCTACCCAATGTTGAGGGTCGTCGTGCTATTCTTGACATCCACACCAAAGGCTGGGACCCGCCCCTTCCAGGAAACATCAAAGACGAACTTGCGGAAATGAGCAAGGGCTATGGTGGTGCAGATTTGCGGGCCCTTTGTACTGAGGCCGCCCTCAATGCGGTCCAGAGGAAGTACCCTCAAATCTACAAATCCGACAAGAAGCTCGTGATTGATCCGAAGATGATCGACGTGACCCCTAAGGATTTCATGATTGCAATCAAGAAGATGGTCCCCTCCTCGGAGCGCTCTACTGCGTCCGGCGCATCCGCGCTGCCGAAGAACGTCGAGCCTCTGCTGCGCCGGCCATTACTCGACATCGAGGCATTGCTGTCAGAGATTCTGCCACAGAAGAAACGGCTCACTGCTCTGGAAGAAGCTCAGTTTGAAGAGCCTGAGGATGCACGTGGGTTCAAACGCGAACAGATCATGTCGGAATTCGAACGATCGCGCGTTTTCCGGCCTCGGATGCTTCTTCGCGGTGCTCAGGGAATGGGCCAGCAGTACCTTGCGGCTGCCCTTCTGAATCATTTCGAGGGTCTCCATGTACAGGCATTTGACCTTCCCACTCTCCTCAGCGACTCGACCCGCTCACCTGAAGCAACCGTCATCCAACTCTTTGCGGAGGTGAAGAGACACAAGCCTAGTGTGATCTACATCCCGAACATTCAAATATGGTACGAGACTGTGGGTCCGGCTGTGATCTCAACATTCATGGGTCTTCTACGATCGGTGCCGCCCACCGATCCTGTTCTGCTCCTGGGTGTCCTAGAAGTGACAGCCGACGACTTGTTGGTAGATGACGAGAGACCGGCCACTGACCAGATGCAACAAAGTCTATTGAAGACCCTGCCTGGCCCGCTAAAGAACTTGTTTGGATTCTCGAAGAAGAACGTCTACGATCTCGATGCCCCTGACAATGCTGCGCGTCATGAGTTCTTCAACACCATCATCGAATACGTCAAGACACCACCAGCCGACTTCCCCGACCCCGAGAACCGCAAGAAGCGAAAACTGGAGGAGTTGGAGGTCGCACCGCCACCACCGCCAAAGCCCGAGACGCCGCTTACCAAGGAGCAGATGAAGGCTCAGAAAAAGAAGGACCGTCAAACTTTGAACCTGTTGAAGATCCGCATCCAGCCCATCATGGATCAGATTAAGAAGTACAAGCGCTTCCGATCTGGTGTCATTGAGGAGTCTCAGATTCGATACCTGTGGGAAGAGGAGGATCCGAATATTGTGACCAGTGACCTGCCTCCCGAAGAGCAAGCAATCCATCGGCCGTTCGAGAAAGCGTACGATAAACACGGCGTACCCGGTCTTCGTGAAGTTGCAACCGACAAGTTCTTCTACAACATGGAGATCGTGACTATGGAGAAACGCCTTTCCAACGGGTACTACAAACGCCCGACTGATTTCTTGGCCGACATCAAACGCATCGCCAAGGATGCTCGTCAGTTCCACGACCAAGAACGGTTGCTGAGAGCAAACGAGCTTCTTTCCAATGTCGAGGTCGATATATCTACCATTGAACAGACCGAGCCGGCTCTTGTTGCCGAGTGTGAGAATGTCTACACTCGGGAATTGGCCCGCGAGAAGGAAGCGGCAGAGCGCGCGAGGCGGGCT